TAAGAGTAGACTCGTCTTTGTCATTTATTAGCAAGGTCATGTAGACTTTCCCGTTTTTCCTTTTTCATACAGCTTACAACTTCCGCAATCTTGAGTCATTTTTTGTTTTTCTAGTACCTCCGCACTGGTTTTATAATAAATAATTGCATTTTGTACCATTAAACTGTATTCAACTTCTATATTATTACCCAAATCTACAAAATAAGATAAAAAATAATAATTTCCAAATCAGTCATAAAATGGAAGAATAATGAAGAATAAAAAAAGAATTAAATTTACATAAAGAAATTCTCATCTTTAAACAATTTTTACTCGAAATTCGAATCGAAAACCCGTTGTTTGAATAAATAGTTTTGATTCAATATACCAAATATCAAAAATGAAGACAAATTTTCGAATACGGGCATTTTGAGAGCATTACATTTGTAGTCCCCGACCGCTAAGTTTTATTAATCTGGTTTTCACTTAAGGTTAAACAGGGTGTATTTCCTTCAAAAACCATTGAAGCGGCACGAAATTCAACTTTGATCTGTAAAGATAAAAGATACATTCACTTACCAAAAGTCAGCTTAATATCAGCAAGTACTTTGAAAAAAGTGCGGAAAATAGAGACACAGACAGACAGTTTGATGACTCATTATATCTTAAAATTGAAAATATGAAACAAGAAATGTTTTGATGTTTGAATGGATATTACTCTTTCAGAATTACCTATTTTGGATAGACCTTTCAATATTTGATAGCAGCGTAAGTTTGATTTTTGTCTTGCTCTGTCGGTTCTAGTTGTTTAATGTAAAAAATGATCGTAAAATTCAACCAGTTTTCCAAGATTCACCGTCCAGGACTCGGCAAGGCCTCATTCTAGAGCCTAGATGGTGTATCCCTAGTGGATTATCACTAATCGACAAGCGTAGTGATTAATGCTTTAATTATTTTTTGTCTTAGAGGATTATATATCATAAGAATGTCTACCTTTCTCAGACGATGCCAACTTTTCTTCCTTATTCGTCAACTTTTAAAGGAAAGAAATGAAAAATGAGTTGACTGATATCACCAAATAAATGGAAAAGGAAATACATGTATAGAGAAATGGATCCTATAACCCTTAACTAAAACAGGGAGCAATTGTAAAAAAAACCTACAGATAAAATTTTTAATAAATCAAGGGGTCAACGTAAAATGTCCAGATGTGGATTCCTAGGCGGTCTGGAAATTGACAATTTCATAGGAGTTGATTTGCAAAGCGGTTAAAATTCAAAAGGGAATATCTTTGCGGTGCCTCTCCGACTGGTGAAATTTGCAATACATATTCCATTTTCTTATATTCGTAAATTTGAAGACATGTTTTATTGTGAATTGTGCAGTGATGCGAGCTTGCAGTTATTACCTACAAGAACTTACAATAGCCTCATGTTGCTTCATTACCTTTAATATGACAAACTTAAATCGGATTAAATGTATCTTCCAATATAATGTATATAATTTAACTTTGTCGGTTAGCATAACTAGGTTATAAGAAAAAAAGATAGTCAATGAATGTTTGAACTGCCTTATTAAGGCTTTGTCGACTTTTTATTAAATCTAATTGAATATTTCTGTACTTACTCCAGTTATAATAAAAATGCCTATGAATATTCTTAAAAGTGGTTATACTTTAAATAAATAACACTGATGTCTTTTGTTATCCTTTAACGTCAATTGTTTGTCAACAAGACAATTGCTCGTTATAACGCATACTTACACATTGAAAGTATGCCGATTACCTATCATTGCGACACATTAATTAACTCGTTATGACTTCGAAATATATTTGTTTTCTTTATGATTTTTTTAATCTTTTCAGATATGAAACTATCTAACATTCTTACATGTACTTGCTTTCCGGGAAGGATGAGAGTTTCAAATTTCTAAAATTGAAATATGAACCCAATTATACAAAGAATTAAGGAAGAATGTGATATTCCAATCTGGCACCGCTCCAGAATAAGCCTAAATGAGTAACTATGATGATTCATTTCAGTTCATGTATGTCTTGTATTCCCATGATCATGGTATAATCGTTTAAAACATGGACAGGACAAAGAAGGGAGAAAAGGAGGATTTGATTTTTGAAATGTCAAATATATTTCACCTAAAATTAGTGCGATTTGGTTTAAAAAAAGATTTATATCATATTTAGCAATAAGTTTTCAAAAACTTTCCTCAAAGCCAACTCATCAAAAATGATCTGTATAAACTCAAAATATGTGAGAAATGTGAAATGAATCATGATCTAGTTTAAAGAAGATTTGTAAATACTTCGTAAGAAAATACAAGTGAAAGCTGTTTGACCTTCTGACATGTCTATACATTTTATTCACCAAGAATTAAATTTTCTTATGTTTTATAAATCTATTAAACTTTAAAAGTGTGTAAATGTATGTTATATAATTATATGGCTCATTGCATAATGTTAATGGCTAGATATAAACATAAAGGAAATATTTGTGAGTGACTATTGGCTCAAGGATATGTTTAAATTCTCGCATATATTTTGAATTACTTTTATGTTCAAAATCAGCGCCAGGACGTTCAAACTTAAATGGATCACAAATGTTCCTTTCTAACAGGTATGGAATATTTACAGTTTTTGGATATTAATGCTTCATAAGAATATTTACTTAAATTATAAAATGAGTTAAATTATTATGTATAAACAACTGCTCCACTAGGGAATTTGTGAAATCAAAAACAAAATTGAGTTTTTTAGTGATTTTAAAAGTACCATGTTTTAAAATTAAGAAAAAGATTCTAAAATTCAAAGCTGTATCTTATAATATTTCTCGCAAAACTTTTTTTGTCAAAATGGAAAAAAAAGTAAAAAATAATTAATTTGACCAATGTTTACGTTTCAAATTTGTCTGAGATTTATATCTTAACACTCGTTACAAAAAATATAAATAAATAAATAAAAATAAAAAAAATCTAATCCACTTTAAACCAATAACTTTATACTTATGCATTTCCTTTGCAAAATTTAAATCATTTAGATAGTATAAGTAATTAATGTAAAAGCATCTAGAAAAATGCTCTGGTAACATTGTAAGTTTGTAGACGTATTTTATTTAGTTTAGAATTTTTATAAACATAAGAGATACTAAATGATGACCTAACGCTATATAATATTATAATATTGATGGTGTTAAAGTTTCTAAAATTAAGATATAATAACTATTCCAAATATTCATTTAAAGACAAAAACACACCGTAAAAGATTCTTCTACACACACAGATAAGAATATGAATGACCGGTATTTTATCTTTTTTCATATAAAAAAGACGACAACCCCCCCCCCCCAAAATCTTTCTGTCTAATCATGAGAGACTTATTATTGTAATTTTTTTTTATTTTTACTTGTTTATTTTTAAAATATTACTTTGACATTAATAATACCAAAATTCTTGTTTAAGACAGAGACAACATCGGCCCTCTTTGCTTTTCGAGCATTATTTTGGGAATCATGATTGGTTTTGGTTTAATGTACTTACATGAAAGATATAAGACAAAGAAAAATGAAAGGTATGATCTCTTAAAAAAAATCAATTCACTCATAAATGAACGCATACATGTATACATACAGCCTTGAGTAATAACATCAAGTTATGTTAAGCTTTGACTCTCAAAAAACATTTGAGATAATAATCATTATACTCGTATATGACAGGTTTCTTGAGTTTGCCTATAATTATAATTTCATTCATGAACTTTCTTCTGGCTGTTTCTCGAAGAATGCTTTCTGCAAAATGACTAAAATTGTCAAAATTAAGTGCGAGAAAAAACTGTAAATGAATTTTTACAGACTCCCTTTTTAATATCTATATACAGGACATTTTTGTAACAAACAGAAATCTTTCGTTTGTCTCTGAATGAAAATAATTAAAAACGATAAAATGCATTTTTTTTTATTGTTATATGCTTTCACAGAGTTAATAGAAAAAAACTTTACAGGAACAATTTTAAAATCGTAAAGTAATTTTAAAAAGATAAAAATGTAATATCAAAAATAAATACTAAAAAATCGAAGAAAATGTAATAAATTGAATAATTTTAGTTTAACCTGAATCATTGATGCTGACGACTTTACTGATTATACTAGTAAGGCACAATGATGGACCTTACAATAATTAAAAAAAAATGAAATCATGAAAAAATGAAATTTTAATTTTCATTCAATGTTGAGTCATTCATGTCCGTAGTACATGCAAAACAATGAATTTTCCTTTTTGATAAATATCTTTAATTCTCAATTATCATCAGAATATCCAGAAATTCGTAATAATTTGCCTTAAAATTATATGCACTCCATTGTTTGTATCTATGGTAAAGATTTGTATTTCTCTTTTATTTATCATATTTATGTGAAATGATTAAAAATAACGTTATTGAATGCAGTCTGAACATAAAGCAACTTTTATAACTTTTACCTTGATTATCATTTATAAGACATTATTTTACCTTATCAATAAAAATACCACTTCACTTTTGGTATACACATTCAAAGACAGCCACAAATAGTTCATCTCGTTCTCTCGATTTACAGTATAAAAAGGCAATCATTTTCCAACAGAACGTATGGAGATCTTCTGCCAGTAGAACCTAGAGGCGATGGATATGAAGGGATACAGAGAACAAGACAGGTTTTTTTTAGCTCACCTGAGCCGAAGGCTCAAGTGAGCTTTTCTGATCAAAATTTGTCCGTTGTCTGTCGTTGTAGTCGTTGTCGTCGTTGTTGTTGTCGTCGTCGTCGTAAACTTTTCACATTTTCATCTTCTTCTCAAGAACCACTGGGCCAATTTCAACCAAACTTGGCACAAAGTATCCTTGGGTGAAGGGATTCAAGTTTGTTCAAATGAAGGGCCACGCCCTTTTCCAAGGGGGGATAAGCATGATTTAGAGAAAAATTATTGGCTTTTTTAAAAAATCTTCTCCTCAAGAACCACTGGGCCAGGAAAGATGAAACTCATGTGGAATCATCCTCAGGTAGTGTAGATTCAAGTTTGTTCAAGTCATGACCCCCGGGGGTAGGGCGGGGCCAAAATGGCCGATCAAAGTTTTACATAGGAATATATAGGAAAAATCTTAAAAAATCTTCTTCTGAAGAACCACTGGGCCAGGAAAGATGAAACTCATGTGGAATCATCCTCAGGTAGTGTAGATTCAAGTTTGTTCAAGTCATGACCCCTGGGGGTAGGGCGGGGCCAAAATGGCCGATCAAAGTTTTACATAGGAATATATAGGAAAAATCTTTAAAAATCTTCTTCTGAAGAACCACTGGGCCAGGAAAGATGAAACTCATGTGGAATCATCCTCAGGTAGAGTAGATTCAAGTTTGTTCAAGTCATGACCCCCGGGGTAGGGCGGGGCCAAAATGGCCGATCAAAGTTTTACATAGGAATATATAGGAAAAATCTTAAAAAATCTTCTTCTCAAGAACCACTGGGCCAGGAAAGATGAAACTCATGTGGAATCATCCTCAGGTAGTGTAGATTCAAGTTTGTTCAAGTCATGACCCCCGGGGGTAGGGCGGGGCCAAAATGGCCGATCAAAGTTTTACATAGGAATATATAGGAAAAATCTTTAAAAATCTTCTTCTCAAGAACCATTGAAACAGGAAAGATGAAACTCATGTGAAATTATCCTCAGGTAGTGTAGATTCAAGTTTGTTCAAGTCATGACCCCCGGGATATGGGTGTGGCCAAAATGGCCGACCAAAGTTTTACATAGAAATATATAGGGAAACCTTTTTAAATCTTCTTTTCAAGTACTTCAAAGCCAGGATTAGTAATATTTGTATGGAATCATCCTCAGGTAATGTAGATTCTAGTTCGTTCAAATTATGATCCCCTAGGGGGTTAAAATTCAACCCCCCAACACCCCCCAACTTAAATTAACTTTTAGTTCTGATCTGATATGTGTTTTTTCCTAGCTGATGTGCTCAGGTGAGCGCTGTGGCCCCTGTGCCTCTTGTTTAAACATTTAACTAACATTTCCATTGTTTTTATTCGAAATAAAAAATTATGATGCAGGTTTTTAAGAATTCATGAATCCAATATAACCTTGCTTCGTATTCTTTTTAGAGAAATTTAAATCCGAGAGCCGCCAATCAAGATGAAAGTTACACGAATGTGATTGATAATTACCTGGATCCAATATCTTACAAAGATCAAGCTGACTATCTTACACCTCTCCATAATGTATCAAACTCCGCTCTGAGATAGGAAAACACAGATTCATAACAAAGAAATTCAAACAAACATACATGTATTTATTCATAGCATATCATGTAAAACATATACTGTTAAGAAAATCGGAATAAAAACATTGGAAAACTATTTAATTCAATTATCTACATCATTTCTTAATGTCTTGCAACTTAAAATTCAAAATATAAATTTATTTCAGCATCATTTTGTCAAATAATGCTTTTTCAATAAAATGGAATAAAGATTGATTTGTACATTATTTCATTGTTTCATTGTGACATTAAGATACCACTGACATAAAAAATTCAGAAATAACTCAGCATCCCCTGCCGACCGGTCACACCCGCCGTGTGCTCCTTGCCATGATCGGGTCCAATAATGGAAAAATTAATTGTCTATTCAATGTGTAAATAATGGACAAGTAATAAGTATGAAAAACGTCAGTCAGCATTTGACTCAATGATAAAATGCATTTGGTGACAAGGTCATTATATCGACCATGGAACTTACAAAATGATGACTGTAAACGATACTGCTGATATTCTTGTTTCATCAACGTGTCCGTTTTTGTCAACAATTTTCACACTTTAGAAATTGTAAGAACGAAGAACACGCTCTTGCGTGTAGAATAAACTGACAGATATGCAGGTGAAGGGGGTATAATTCTGCATTAATGAAGTTGACAATTAGGGTCATACATATAATGTTTATGTTACCCAACCAACCCTTTGTACAATAGTTTGCTTTGAGATGGTTAATCGGTTAATCAAGACAGGAATCTGAAAACTGAGTTGATATTAGAGTGCTTTTCAGAATGAATGTTGAAGTTTTCATTGTTTGTTTTAATTTTGTGATAGTTAACAAATTTATTACATATAGAATGATAGTATTTAAACTGTGATGTTGTATACGAAATGTAAATGCTGTTTTCTTTGCTATATTAACTACCGTACGGCAGTAGATAAATGAAAATAAATCTCAAAGTAGAATTAAGAACATTGCAATAAAATTAATAATTTATCTCGGTAGTTAAGGTTTTTCTATGTGTTGGATAACAGGGGGATTCATAAATTCTTATCCATGATTATGTTCATAAATTATCAACTTTACAATGACTTTCTCATCCATGTGAAATAAACATCCTTGAAAACCAGCTGCAATTTTTCGTGAAGACATCTCTGTATATTAAATGATTTTGCACTGATTTCGCAATTTTTGTATTTAAACTTTAATCAGGAATAATAAACATGGAGGATCTTTTAATTGGTTTGCTAGTTTTATTTTTGTAATTTGATTAGAATATAAAAAGGTTTACTCATGCTCCAAGTTCAATCAAGTTCAATCAAAGCATGATATATGATATTAGAAGGAGATCAAACACGGATCTCTAAAACATCATGGGTGTTATCAGGTGCTAATCAAACAGCATCTCTAAAATCATCAAAATTCGAATCAGGTGGCAATCAAACCGCAAACCAAGGCATATTCTATATGTATGTTCTGTTAAAACGTGTCAAAAACATGACTCAAAAAAAAAAAAAAAAAAAACAATTTCAACATTTGTATTTTTTTCAATTGGTGTTGATGTCTGACTGTAACATTAGATATTCTTTTTCGAGTGCGTAATACTTGAAACTTTCCTGACTTCCCCTTGGTGAACCTTTCGTATCACTGTTTGATTTTGAAGAAGAACTTCCGGTTTGTATCACTACGGATTTCAAAGAAGGACTTCCATTTCGGAGGACACTTAATGCTTTACTCCCTTCATAACCAGCGGGCGGAAATTCATCAGAAAATAAGAGGCTTCGGTGAATGTTAAAATTTACGGAATCTTCCGTCTCGTTCAAATGATGGTAAATTGTTCCTTGAGAACTAGATGATGTGTCCTCTTTATACGATGGGACTTGAATCGCCTTTGCTAACATCTGTAACAGGAAATAACATTTTTGGTTGCTAAAATCTTTGTACTTTTTAAAAAAATATCTTTTTTTTTTTTTTACATTATTATCTGATTATTGGCCACATGCAATCATAAATGTACGAGGGTTATCCAAAAAGTTCGTGGACAATGACGTTTTTGTTAAAATCAACGGTTCTATATATCTTTTGTAAATTAAAATATTTCTTAAGAAAACCATGTCAGTTAGATTTCATTTTTATTGATGGAACTTTGTATTTTGGTAAGATCGGGGTCTTCACGGGTCGCAGATAGTGCGCATGGACCAAGGTTAAATGCCAGAAACTTTGAAATAAAGTGTTAAGATTAAAATGATTATTTTGAAATAAAATAAATCAAAGCTTGATAAAAGTTAAATGTAACACAAATAAAGAGGCGATATTCCTTTTTTTATATCCTTAGGAAGCAATACTATATAGACAGTGAAAATAAAAACAGAAAAACTTTGCAGTGTGACTTAATAAAGAAAATGTAGTGTGTGACCATGTAATGTATTAAACATTAAAAATACAAATGTTTGACGTTATAATGAAATTAGCTTAACGTCAGACTGGTCTGTGCGCACTATCCGCGACCTTTAAAGACCCCAATGTTTACAAAATATAAAGTTCTATCAATAAAAATTAAATCTTTCCGACCTGTTTTTTTTTTATAAAATATATTTTGATATAAACTAGATATATATATAGAACCGTTAATTTCAAGAAATTTTCGGATAATCCTCGTATGTTACTTTAATATCATTTTTCAAAATGTTTGAGTATGATAGATCTACTGTAAATCGACACTTTCATGAACAGTAAATAATGATTTTTTTTAGAATAGCAAAACGAATTTAATAAAAAGAGCAAATCGGTTTGTAAAGTAAAGGTAACAAAATCTCTACATCATGTGCCAATTAGTAAATACCTTTAAATGATCTTCTATGTCACTGTATTGTTGTGCTTCATCAGCTGTTGCATATATTTCGTCCTGATTATTACGATGAAAAGCTACAGAAGGATTTTGTGTCTCAAAAACTTTGCTATAAAAAACAAAAAAGACAACTTACAATTTTGTGACTTCTTGAATAAAACATATCGTATGCTTCAGAAACCAGTACACACTTCAGTTGCATTAAAAGCATCATATCTTCTATTCAGACTTATCGTCATAGATCTAAAATCAACTACTTACTTAATTGCATAAAAGACGTTTAGTTTTACAATGAAAAAAAATACCTCTTACGACGCCTGATCCATAGGATAACTTTGGTAATAATTAGTCCCAAGCATAATCCTCCAAGACCACATCCAACGGGCAGGAAAACTGCTCCATATTTATCTAAAAATTATGAGATTAATTTGATATGTATATATCATTATATCTTTTTAATTTTAATGTCGCTTCTTATTCTTTTGAGGAAAAAACGCATGTAAATCAGAAAAGCCAGGAATAAAATATTTTTATCTCAAGCCATTGCATAAACATCAGTGAGTCTACACTAAAAAAAGCATTTTAAAAGAGGCTTTTAAAAAACAGCTAGTCTTTATAAAAGTTGAAAGCTTCGACGCTACCCTGGGTGTGATAAACTGTTATTGATGAAGAAGTGAGTTCACGAATAGAAATCAATAATAATAAAATTTCTGTAATTTAAAATCTGTGATCAGGAATAAACATGGAACCTGGAAACTTCAGCGATTGTATTTAGTGCCTAGGTAGCATATCAATTTGACCGATCACATCCTCCCCGTACAAGCCTAAAGAATTATCAGTAAGAAAGAATGTTTCGTAGTCGAATTCAGTTTTAGAACAAATTTCTTAAATAAATTAGTATGACGCAAATCAGCCTTAAAAAAACTCAATTATCGCTTAGTTATATTTGCTAAGAATGCCATTATAACGACCATAGGAATTTACGAAAAGCTGACATGAAATGAGGTTCATGTTATCCTCGTAATATCAATTTATTTTTCAGTGGCAATCCTCACGACAGCTCAGTACACTGAGCGTGCTCGGTTCGTGATAGCAAGATCTTGAGGTCCAACCGCGGCCATGACTGACTTCACTCGGTAAAAATTGATAGCAACTGTTCATTCGCCAAGCGCTCGGTACTTTCGGGTCTTTTGAATGAGAACTGAAAATCTGAGAATCCACAAAACGGCAGCCCTTGGCATAACAAGGATTCCTCACCGCTCAATGATCCTGAGTGCCGAGTACTGGTCACAAAGTGAAGTTTTTTATTGTACCAAGTATTTCGAAGTGAATATCTTATTCTGATGATATCGAAATATTACTACATATGTAAGTAATCAAAGTCGACAATGCAAAAACTTAAATCATCTCGTCATCATACAACTGAAATTTTATTTGATCCTAATCATCTCCATACAGTAACAAGCCAATATGAATCAGGTGTAGCAGTTTTGTGATGTCTTTTAGGTTAACTAGGATATATCAAGAGTCTTGATATAAACCTTTAAATAATACATGTAAATTATGAAATGTTTAAGTTCACGTCATTCAGCTTACTTAAACGCCATACTGTATTATAAAGTTAGAATATATCGAAATAAAAAGTTCATACTTAGGTATTTCATTATATTTGTCAAATCATACCGCAAACTTTTCTCGATTGATTTTTGTCTACAGTGTTAAAATTTATTTAAATAATTATTTTAGTATCTGAAAAACTTACCCAAACATGATTCGTTTGTAGAAAATAGGACAGTATTTCCTGTCGTCGTTGTATTTTTTAAGATAGTATTTAATTCATCAAAAGTTGCATCGGAGGTAATATTTATCCAGCATGTAAATTCAACAAGATCCACGTTGCATTCATTGATATCGCATTGAAAGTCTTTCAGGGTTGTAGATATCTCTTTCATCCTAAAACTTATGTTATAACCAACACAACGTGAACCTCTACTTCCAAAAGAATACTCCCCATAGCATATGTATGAGCAAGGCTGAACTGAAAAAGACAACCGAAAACACATTTTAGCAATTCAAGTCTGAGAAAGTCGTTGCATTATGTTTGAAAATGAAAAATTTATTCATTTGCTGAATGAGAACATATAACAATAAATCGAAGTGTTGTATAAATATCAATACATATGATGTTGAAAGAAACTTGAAAAAGATATTAGGCTAAGTACATGTAAGTAGTTTCGTTTCTTCGTCTTGTAGTTCATGTTGTTATCTGATATACCTTTTAGGTTACTGTAATCTTAGAAGTGTATTGGAGAATTTTTTTCTTACTTTTCTCTTCAAGGAGCCTTGTTGGACATTCCTTATTTCTTAGAGAGGCATGGATTTCAAGAGCATCCTCAAAACACATGATTCTACAAAACCATTAATTAAAGCATCAATTAAAAGTACTTTTGGTAGAATTAATCTTAAGGATATACATGTATATTGAACAATTTAATGTAAATTGAAGTAAGAATTATAACATATTTGAACAAGATACCTATTGTAGGTGGAAACTGCTTCAGCAAATGTTTTATGAATGAGTATAATTGCGATGAATCCTAAAAAAGTAGAGACATTCAGATGTTATCACCAACTACTACTACTACTACTACTACTACTACTACTTCAACTGCTATTACGAATACTAATACTATTACTGCTTCTTTTGCTTCTGCCATTCCTATGACTACTACTACTATTACTACTATTACTACTACTACTACTATTACAGAATGCTTGATATGCGATAAGTCTGACGTCACAATTGCTGTAATCAGTCTTGCAGGACTAATATGGATCAATATCACATCTCCAGTAAATTAAACCTTAAAAACGATGCCCTCTGACTGATACTGGTGTCTTGGTCTGATGCAGGTTGTAATAGAGGAAACTTATCTTTTATTCTCTTTAAAATATGCTTATGAATGAAATAATTGACTTACCAATACAATATTCCATTTTCTCTGATAACAAATAATAAAATGAAGATTTGATTTTCATTAATTATTTATATATAGGAAGCTTACTTCCTCTCTAAAATGTCACCAAATACTAACAGTTTAATTCATAAATATAGCAGTTCTATCATACAGTGTATGATTCACTGTTCAAGTGGTGATCTGGAATGTGATAAATGACATCTAATTCACGGAAATTTTTATAGTTGATGCCTTGTAAAGTGTTTTTGGATCTATGTACTTTGATACTTGTATATACAAAAAGGGATACCCTGTTTTTTTTCTTTGAAACATGCATTTAAATAATTGTGTCGTGCATACCATTTCTAAACTATTAAGTGACTAACTATAAAATATAAAAGAAATTAAAAGAATAGTCACTAGTTAGCTTTGTTTAAATACACAATCTGATGCCAAAAATATTTCTTGAAATTATTCTTTTAAGGTTTAAGTAGTTACTGTGTCATATGTTAAACAATGCAATTAAAAAGATATATTACTCTGTTATTCCTAAGAACATTAAAATGTAAACATTTTGAAAGTAATATTAGTTAGCATAAAAAAGGAATTTTACATCTTATATACAGTAATAAATAAAATCTGTTCTTAAATTTGAATAAATTTGAATTAAATTAGAGTAATAAATACATGTACATGTTTGGGAAGTTTGAATAAAAATGAATATAAATATTTTCAATAGGTCTCAATAAATAAATGAGGTTTCATGAAAATCGTTAAAACCGCTTCATCCGAAACAGGCACATATTATCTTAAACAATAAAAGTATGTCATTACATAGATACGTCGTCACAGCCACTGGTGGAACAGATGAAGACATAAAAGCTTGAATTAATAAAGCCAGACACATCTTCACCACCCTCAAGCCTGTGTGGAGTTCAACAGTTCCACACACATAAAACTTGTTACAACACCAATGTTAAGTGTCATATGTTAGAACACCACCTCCAATTAAAACCTTCGCATATATTAAACATGTGTTATTCACTAAACAAATAGCCCGCAGAAAGTGGCGATGGATTGGACATACCCTCCGAACACCACCCGGAGACATTACACGCCACTCACTAGAGTGGAACCCACAAGGCAAACGGCGAGTTGGGCGTATCATGTGAAGAGACAGGCAATGTGGACATACCTGGGAACAACTGAAAAGAGCTGCCCAAATGTAAACATTTTGAACCAAAAGATGATTACATAGATAATATATAAAAATTAATTATAAGATTGATTTAATAGTTTATTACAACAATCCTTACATGGAAAACATAGACCAAAAATCTTGTTGACAAAAGCAGTTCCTGAATGTTTTGATACCTTTGAAAAAAATACTTTTATCAGTTATATCTAATTAAGTGAATAAATCCTAAGTCATGATATATCTTTTAAAAATTTTAACTGAATATAATCCATAGTAATTTTTATATTAATATGCATATTTATAAAGGAAAATCACAAAGATTTTTTAAAAAGGGAGTTTACATATTTGCCCGTGTACACTTTGTTGTGGAAAAAAAATGTTCGGGTTTGTTCTTCATGAGTTATACATCTAAGCGATAAATTTAATTTTTCGAAGGTGATTTCACGCAATGTAAACAAAGGATTATTTTTTGTGTGACCTAACAAAAATTATTTTTTTAACTTTTAAATTTTGAAAAGTTTAAAAAGAAAAAGACTTTGGGGATATAATTTGACAAAAGTTGAAATAATTTATAGACAATTATTTTTTTAAAGAAGAAAAACGAATATATTATTTTAGCGATTAGAATCGGACCAAGCGGCTTTAAATTCATTATCTGCATATAATATTAAGACCACATTTTATAAAATGGACAAGGAAGCCAAGCAAAAAAAAACAAAACAAAACACACACACAAAAAAAAACCACACACAAAAAAAAAACCACACACACAAAACAAACAAATCAAAACAAAGAAACTTAATAAAAAACAAGAACAAAAGGGAACTCACAAAATAAAGCCAAAAAACATTTCGACAGAAGAATCATTCTAAGAAAGAAAAATGCGCCAAGACGTAGCAGTTAATACAATGTTATTCAGTCTTTGTTTCAGATGAATAGAAATTTTTTGAATTCTAATGCCTATAATAACCAGAAAAGCGAACCGTCTCCAATTGGTACGATGAGTGGCTATTTTTTAGATTCAACAAACGACGTGTTATACAAATGATAAAATATATATGATCAAGCTAAATTTGCAATTAATATAAGGAACTATTTTAAAAACTTCCCTTTTGTGTGTGATCCTATTATCCTGAAATTGGAAAATAAACCGATATATTTTATTAAAATTGCATTTTATAGCAACTGGCTTTTCCATTTTCCGTGTATGTTATATATTCAGTAAATCACTTAAGCAATGCTTTAATCCTTTCAATCAATTTTAAATCGATCTCTTCAACCGTTCATACTAATACATTTTAAAACATATTAAACAACTGAAAAGTCCAAAAATTTATTTTTTATATTTACATTTATATATATATATATATAAAGCACTAAAAATGACCAACGACACGAAAATATATATTGTCAAATTTTCGCATTTTTTTTTAAAAAGTCATAAGAACAAAGGAAAAAGCGAAAAAAAACAACTAGCACTACTAATAAAAGATATATTTAAATATTTGATGATTTTTATATTAAAAAGATCTGAAATGCGTCCGGTTAACGAAGTGTTTATTTGAACGAATTAATTATGCTAATTAATTACGAAAATTTTTGTTTCATTCTCTCAAAATGGCGTAACTATACTTGATAAAGAATAACCAAAGAAAAATAATATAGAAGGGGCATTTTAACATATAAATTATGATCTATTATAAATTTTAATTTGAAATGTTTTAAACTTATGAATATAATAATTAATTAACAAAGACTACATAGTTATGTGGGTTGTTCGAGAGTTGGTGACGCAAATTAACTGTCCCAGGGAATCATGTAAAAAATTTTGAATTTAACCAGGATGGCTGCAGCATGTCGCGGGTATACTGGCGAGAAAATTGCCACAAGGGACAAACGATTTTTAAAGATTTTTCCTTTGTAACATTTCGCAAAATGTGTAAAGGAATATTTAAGATTTTCCCTTTTTATAAACTTCCAAGCCAAAACGAAAATTTTTTGGCAAAAGGACTTTTTTATCAACCTCTTTAAACCCAAACTTAATCGGAAATGATACTGTATATTTTATATTTTGAAATTTCATTTGTATAATGTGTGAAAGTTAGTGCAAGATTTGTACATTAACAAGTACGCCAACTTAACGCTACCTACATCTATTATGACGTCACAATGAACTTTATGCTTTTGACATCTTTTTGTATAACTGCCTGAAGAGCCCATGGCGAAAGCGCTTGTTTTGTGATATTTTTGATTTTTTTTAAATATATATATATATATATGCTTTTTTTTATCATGAAAACATTGCAATTTTTTTATGATATAAAGAAAATCTAAGGTAAACAAATGTGTTTTATCTCTCCATTTACAAGGAAGTTTCTATTTTATTTAATTATCCTTTTAAATACCGCTTCGTCTACCAACAAAGAATATCATATCTTATACCATACAATGCATACAATGGCACAGAAAAGTACACTATACTTACTTTTGAATTATCGCCATGTGATGAGGAAAACAAGGTAGCAATAGTAACTTTTCTCTTTTCTATTCACATTAATACATGTAATATTCCAATTTGATGTCATTTCTGTAAACATTTGCAAGTATTTAAACACCTACCCGTTAGCTTTTTCAAAACTCGAGGTACGGATTACCCTTATTTTACATTAACTTGATTCTTTTATCCTTAATTTTGATTACATAGAATCACAGTCACTTAAAATCCTGGATATCAATTATGGTTGTATAACAGTGTTATATATTTTCATCTTATGCATTTGTACAAAATAATGCATTATAATTTAATATTGTAATACTATGAATTTTGTATATATCTAAGCAGTTAACTATTCCTTTTTTCAAGAGTAAAATGTCAAGCAGTTAACTCTTTATTTATTATACCAAAGCTTTTAATGATGAAGTTTTTCAGTGAGGAATATTGAATTGTACTTTGTAGTGTTTTTTTTTTCAATTATTCCTGTAAATGTTAGCATTGCTCCAAAGAATATCTTCATAGAGAAACATCTTCAAAATCACTTTCGGTTGCCTGAAGATTTATTACAATAAAAAAGAATGGAGAAATAAATTTTACTTGAAATAAAGCAACATTAAACGATTTGTTTACCACAGTATTCTTCTTGACACGACTAGGTACTAAATACAAAAACTTAAAAAAAAAAGTCAGTGATAATAACCTGATCATGACAATTTGTATGAAAAGCGTTAGTCCAATATTACACATTATTATATGTTCTTATTGACATAAAGTGCATGTCAGGAGAGGAATGTTTTGTGCACTTAAAAAAAGAAAAGTATCTGAACACAGATTCAATTAAACCCTTATTATGTCATAAGTCATTTTCAGTGCTTTATATGAAATTAATTACTTGAGTTGACCTTTTACCCATTTTAAAGATCCGACACTTCAGGTCAAACAATGTTGTTGGTTTGTAGTGCTCTCTCTTTCCCTTTCTCTCATATATATAAACTTATTTCTAAATAACCGTATCTCTCATCAACTCTCAATGACCATGTAGTGAAGGCCAGCACCTTAAGAATTCTAACAGCATCGAAAGCGAGTTTTTAACGAGCGGATTAGCGAGCTGCTTCTGTATTTCTAGGATGACAAATACCGTAGGTCGAGATTTCAAACTTGGATCGTTCTATAATGCACGTGTATATATAATTTATTTTTAGTATGTTTTACTTAAAATATTTTCATTTATTTCTAAGATATGAAATTATTTTTAGAATATGCCTGTTAAAATTAAAAAAAATCGTTATATCTTAATGGCATATCATATAGCTTACATTGACGTCCAACTGTATAGACGATTTAAAATATCTCAGAATGACCTTTGCATGCCTATGTATTTCATTATATTTATCAAAAATATTTTGTAAACTTGCTTTTAGGTGAATTGATTTACATATTAAAGGAAGTATCTAAATAACATAACCAAACCTGCTTTGTTTGTAGAAAATACACAAGTATTTCCCGTCATCGTTCTATTAATATTCAATTCATCTAAAATTGCATCGAAGGTATTATTTATCAAGCATGTAAATTCAACTATATCAACGTTGCATTCATTGATATTGCATACAAAATCTTTCAGGGTTGTAGATATCTCTTTCATCCTAAAACTTACGCTATAACCTACACAACGTGTGCCTCTATTTCCAACAAAAGGATACTTCCCATAGCATAAATATGAGCAGGGTTGAACTGAAAAAGACAACCGAAAAAACATTTTAGCAAATCAAGTCTGACAAAGTCGTTTCATTATGTTTGAAAATGAAAAAAAAAAATATCCTTTGGCTCAATTAGAACATATTATAATAATAATGTGAGTGTTGTATAAATATTAATATTTACTCAGCAAAAAAAAAAAACAAAAAAAAAAAAAAACGCATATTGTTTAACTCATCAAAGAAATTTTGAAAAAAGTATATGGAACAACTACCTTTTTTATCATTAGTTTCCTGTGACCTATTTAAAGAAAATCATAAGCTCTTAAATAATTGTTGAATTATTTCCTTTAATTAATCATGTTTATGAAAATAGTTTTTTGCATGATTTCTTGTAAATTGGGGGTCTATTTTCAATGAAATTTTGGATTTAGAGAAACAATAAACACCCCTTTTAAACTCATAGTTTTGCTTTGATTACAATGTTGATGTTGCAATGCCACGCCTAAAAAAGATGAACGCAACAATCGTTTCTTCGATTTGTAGTCTATGTTGTTATCTGAGATACCATTAATTTAAGGTAATTGTAATTTAAGAAGTGTATTCGAGAACATTATTCTTACTTTTCTCTCCGAGGAGCCTTGTTGGACATTCCTTATTTCGTAAAGCAGCATGAATTTCAAGAGCATGCTCAAAGCACAAGGTACTACAATAACATTGAGTAAATCATCAATTAAAAAAGTTTTGTAGAATTAATTCATATGGTACATGTTGAACAAATCCATAAGTATTCAGTACTTGTGCTCAATCCCTTTGTAATTATATTACAATAAAATATGTTCAAATCAAACAATTCCATGTAAATAGAAGTTAGATTTATAACTTATTTGTACAAGATACCTATTGTGAGTGGAAATTGTTTCAGCACATGTTTTCAGAATCAGTGTAAGGCCGATAAATCCTACAAAAAGTAGAGATGATCAATTATAACTCACCAACTTCTACTACTACTACTACAACTACTACTACTACTACTACCACCACCACTATTACTACTACTACTACTACTACCACTACTACTGCTACTACCACTACTACTGCTACTTCTACTACTACTCCTACTTCTACTACTACTACTACTACTACAACTACTACTATTACTACTATTACTACTTCTACTACTGCTACTACTTTTACTTTTACTACTACCACTACTACTACTACTACTTCTACTACTATACTACTAGTACTACCACTACTACTGCTACTCGTACTACTACTACTACTTCTACTACAACTACTTCTTCTAATACTACTACTACTACTACTACTACTACTACTACAAGAACAACAACTACTACTTCTTCTGCTTCTTCTACTACTACTACTTCTACTACTATAGTACTATTATTACTACTACTACTTCTACTACTACTACTACTACTACTACTACTACTACTACTACTACTACTACTACTACTACTACTACTACTCCTACTATACTACTACTACTACCACTACTACTGCTATTACCACTACTACTGCTATTTCTACTACTACTCCTACTACTATTTCGACTACTACTACTACTACTACGTCTACTACTACTATTTCGGCTACTACTACTACTACTACTACTACTACTATTTCGACTACTACTACTACTACTACGACTACTACTACTACTATTTCTACTACTACTACTACTACTACTACTACTACTACTACTACTACTACTACTACTACTACTACTACTACTACTACTACTACTACTACCACTACTACTACTACTACTACAATTACTACCACTACAACAACTACTACTACCACTCCTACTTCTACTACTACTACTACTTCTGCTACTACTACTACTATTTCGACTACTATTACTACTACTTTTACTACTACTACTATTACTATAACTACTACTACTGCTACTACCTCTACTACTACTACTACTACTACTCCTACTACTGCTACTACTTTTACTACTACTACTATTACTATTATTACTACTACTGCTACTTCTACTACTACAACTACAGTGTACTACTATTTTGGATACTTTTGCTTCTATAAATATAACTTTACTTAAGAAAAGATATATAAAAGGCCTCTAAGTTCAGTTATATCTGTTGAAATACACATGCATAAATTCAACATATTGCTTTACTAAGTCCAATAAGAGGCACATGGGCCACATCACTCAACTGAGTAGGTTTTTACTATGCACTTCTTTACCAAATATCCCCCTTATTAAACATATTGTGACCTAACCCTACCACATGTGTCATAATTTGCACAATTTAAAATCTACACTACCCAAGTATGCTTCCACATTAGTTTCAGCTTTTTTAGCCAAGTGGTTCTTAAGACGAAGATTTTTTCATTTTTTTCCGATACATTTTTATGTTAAACTTTGATTCCCTATTGTGGCCCTGCCTTAACCCCAGGGGTCATGGTTGAAAAATTTAGAATCTACATTACCCTAGTATGCTTCCACATAAGATTTAGCTTTTTTGGCCTAATGATTCTAAAGAAGAAGATTTTTCAAGCTTCTTTCTATATATTTCTATGTGAAACTTTGACTCCCTATTGTGGCCCCGCTCTACCTCCGGAGGTCATGATTTAAATAATAAAGAATCTACACTACCCCAGAATACTTTCACATAAGTTTTAGCTTTTCTGACCCATCGGTTCTTAAGAAGAAGACTTTTAAAGTTTTTTCCTATTTATTTCACTGTTAAACTTTGATTCCCTTTTGTAATCCTGGCCTACCCCCGGGGGTCATAATTTGAACAATTGTGAATATCATTAGAAACAGACGATTGGTGTCATGGTTTTCATAGTATCGTTGAAATTGAGTTTGATGAAAATGACGTCGTCAAACGCAAAACCGGCCCACGGAGATGTAATAAATTGTGTTGGATATGGTTAATATACATCAGGGACGGGGGAAAAAGTACAAAAGTGACATTTCACACACGATTTTAAAGAAGTTATTTTCAAATTGCACGATATTCAATGAGAGGTTTTCTTCTATACCGAAAACAGTTAATTAGGGCATGTAAGAAGTAGAGTACTGTTTGTTTAACGCATACAGTTGGGAACAATCTGGACCGCTAACGACGTCAAACAATGTGTATTCTCTGCTACCTACAATGTAAGGCGATATTTCGACTAAATTACGACTATAATTTGAATCTGCTTTAAACAAAAACAAGTAAAAAACAAACGGACAGTAGTGAATTTAAAAATATCCCTTAGTCAAGAGCGATCTATCACTTAAACAAAAATATTGAATGTTAATTCATGCGAGTGAAGCAGACAACGAGATCATGACGTTATAAGAGACATAATTCATGCTTGCTTTCGTGCACTGGTGTACACTAATATTCTTTCTTTATTTTTCCATAATTTTCTTATAAGATGTGATATCATCATGAAACTTGAAGTGCATGGTCATAAAATATTACTCTTTGCTATGAAAAGGAAATAAATTTAATTAAGCAAAGAAACAAAACTGTTTTCCTTGTCTACGACTTTTTGGGACAACCCTCCTATAGATATTGTTATGATAAGTGATGACTCATTCTATATTTCCCTGGTTCTTTCTAAACCTAATGGTGAAAATTTTAAATTAGGAATAGGCTTACTTTCAAATGCGCCCTTGATCCTACCAGGCACAATTTCTTTATGTATTCTTTGATCAATGTTTTGGGGTTCAGTGAGAGTGGAATTCAATTTCTTTTTCTTTTACTCTATTCCCGAATTCAAAGTAAAACCCACTTGCAAATCCATCAAATCGAAAAATCGATTTTTTTTGTTTCATATTCTTCATAAGCAGATAACCGATGAGGAAGTATTTTTCCTCAAATTGATTTGAGTTGACCCCTTATTTGGTAGTAGAATTTGTTTTTTTTTTTTTTGTTTGGCTATATTGTTTATTTGTGTTGCTTGTTCGGTTTTGGTATTTTTGCATGACACGAAAGGGATGCGCAGTTGGTTTTGAGCCCCGACACATTTATATCATCTATGCTGAAAACTACAGGACATTCCTACCTGACAGTGTTAACCTGAATGATAGTGAAAGCAGGCACCATTGGGAATTAATTTTATACTGTACGTCCTTACTACATTTGCGTGGTTTTGTTGTCTGGCTTGTTGTCAGTCTGGCAAGGACATACAACTCAACTCCATATGCCTGTGGACATCCTCCAGGGAACCTGTCCCTGAGCAACTACCATTCAAAAGTCCATATCATAAACTTCCATTTGTCCTTTACATCTGCTATTTCCTAATTGCTTCTAATTATAAATGCTTTGCCAAATTTGCTTGTTACTCATTGTATTTCATGCAATAAATTGCCGAAAATTTGTTCCATGCTGTAAGCCAGTAATGCATGGAGGAGACATATGTGTCATTTAATGAATCATTGTCCACCTAGAGGATTGTCAACTTACCAAGACTGTCATCATCTTCGACTTGTGAAAACTTACCTTTCTTTTGCTTGTCTTTGGACAGCAGTTTTAAGAAGTCAAAATACTGGTTTGACAAAATTTTGGACTTGAGTTAAGTTAATCTGACACCCAAGCAACTATAATGCTACTGTTGCACTGACGAAACAATGAGAATCTTACATGATTTTTTTCATTAGGTTAAAGACCAAGGCTCCAAGCGACTGTTGAATAGCCTGGTCATTGTGGGTTGGTACTCGAAACCCCCACCCCCACAGTATTATTACTAAAACTCCCTAGAATATAACTAATGAGCTCCTCTCTGATTGTTGCAGTGATCCGCTGTGTTACTGGTTGAGTAATTATTTCCAGGTCGTTTGGGATAAAGCTGTCATCACAGCCTCCGTATACCCGTATAGTCTTTTGCTTTATTGTCAGACAGGAGTTGGTACTGTATGAGCTTTGGATGATTTTCTATTTTGTGCCATGACTATAAATGAGAATAGGTTACTGAAATACTGAAATACGAATTAAATTTATGGCAAGTCACCAGAAAATAATGTAAATATAAGAAATGAATTTATTTTTTGAAGATTCATGAGGTATATGAACTACAACGCTTCACTCCGGCATATTCATCATGAAGCGCTAACGCACATTGTTATTTACACAATTTTTTTGCTATTTCCCGATCATGACACGGAACTCACGGTGGATATGAGTGGTCGACAGGGGATGTTCAGTCCTCCATCGCACCTGATCCAAAATCTGATGTGTTAGAAGTCGGTGTTTGCTTATTATTTCTATAATAAATCTTAAACGAAAAATATCTTAGTTTTATGACTGAGTTGTAATTCAAATAAACAATTAATTATTTACAAAAAAACTAAAAATATAATAACCTTCAGACTTTTTTAGAACAATCGTCTGGCTTACATGTATACGTAAAACTCGATTGAGATTGCTAATTTGTAGAAGTTACAGTTTAACAATTTTATTACCATTCTTTTTTGTGTCTCCAGTTCGTCAAAATAATTAACTTTCCGAGGCAAAGAGTGGGTGGACTTCTCTCTTTAGAAACAAATGACAGAAATTAAAGTTTATTAATGTTTATTTCTCTACACGTATCCTTTAAATTCAGGATATCGTTACCTTGGATTTTGTCTACAGATATGAATTTAAAACGCTATGTTTGAGGAAAACTAAATAAATATCGAATTCGAAGGCATTAGGTTTGAAGATTTCTTGTATATCAATAGATATTCAGGGTCACGCGTTTATTATCGCCTGAATACATAATCAGTTTATGTTTGCCGGCTACTCTTAAGATAACTGAACAACGAATTGAAAAAAATATGTCGTTTTAAAAGGAGATTAACCTACAAACGTATGCCTACACTTAAATTTACAAAAATGTGATCAAAATACAGCTTCACGCTTCCATTGATAATTAAGACTACGTTAATTTTTACTTGACTTCGACTGACCTGCTGAATATTACAATTCACCACGTGATGTCCACCTGCGAGAGTACTAAAAAAACCACTTTACCTGATCTCAATCTAAAACAAAGTCTTTTTTTTCAAAATTTATCAAATTAAATGTTTTATAATCGACGTTTCGCTGCCTTTTTTTATTTATTGATACTGACGCCGATCGATAGCCCTGCCTCCTATTAATTTTGATTGAAAAACACTCTGGGTACATGTCAAATTTCGGACTGAAATACAAATATAGGGTTGCCTCAATTTTGTTTCATAGCAACAAGGCTAAACTAAATAAGGAATCTGTAGAATGTATGAATTTCTTTTTTTTTAAATATCAGATAAAAAGAGGGTTTTTGATTGAAATCTATTGAAGGAACATTGTATTTATTGCCTTAGCTTACTAGTGGAACTCATTCAAGTCAAGAGTTTCCTAGAATAGAACACAGAGTTGACAATTTTTGTCTACGTGAATTGTACTTCGGAAATACGTCAAGTATTGACAGGAGATAATGGGTCAATAGTTATCTGGGGAAAAAATCCGTGAATTGGTGTTTCAAATGTTTTAAGGACCAATTCTTATCTTCTTTAAATAACTTAGACAACAGTATGTTGCTATCTCTTTTTGTTTCTTTAAAATAAAGCATATAGAAAATTGGAGGAATATAGGATCAATCAAAATCTTATGATTTATTTTTTTCCAAACGAATAAATTATAGTCGAAATCGTTGATAAATTTATCAAGCCGCATAGATTAATTTGAATATATATTTTTCAGGTTTCAGGGAAATATTACCAGCTAAAGAATTCTCTCGATAATGTCCCATTTAAAAAAGCAATCCAATGTGGTACTAACACATCATCTTTTCATCTATGCTGATGAAAATTACAATGCTTAATTCTCAATTGCATTCTGTAACAGCAAAAATATTTCAAATTATTGACAGTGACTCATGTCCATTTAAGACCGGTATGTCGAGATTAATATATACTCACCGTCAATAGAAACGCAACACCCTAATTTAAGGGGTGAAAATTATGTTCGGGATATAACTATGTACCAGAAAAATTAGGACATCTTTTACTTTGCCAAATCATTAATTTAATGGTTGAATGATTTTCATTCCATTACCGGAAGTTGTTTTTTAAACCCCCTGAACAGAAATCAAAAATTAGCATTTTTAATAAAATTATTGACAATATTTTGGGTTTTCCGGGTTTTGTACCTGTTAATCATAAGTCTTGTACTAAAAGTCCGGAAAAACATCCTTCTTTCTTTTCCGGAAGTGATGCCTGTATTTCCTCAAAGTAACTGAAAGCACACATTTTCATTGCTAATGTTGGAAATTCTCAAAATAAAGAAAAGCTAGAGCTACAGATGCAAATATACACTACATAACGACTTTTCGGGCCCATGTAATTCAAAAGCATGAATGACAGTTCCTTGACCGGAAGTCCAAGGGTTACTACACTACGCCAAGTTAGAGAAAATTCGACCTCAGTATCTGAAAAACAGGCATTTAAAGATGCACAAAAATATTTATTTCGCTCAGGTTAGACATTGATAAACCTACTGCATGATAGAATTCGGGCTGTGTTTGTACATGTTGTACCTTACGTACTAGGACGTTTTAATTGACAGGTCGGAAGGGGGGATGTTTTAGTGTTATGTATTACTTTATAAGGTTTAAAGATAATATTAAGAATGAATACATAAATATAAAAGTAAATTTACAAAACAATGATACTTCATTTAAACTTTAAATGTTATCTTTAGACCTTAGAAAGTAACACATAACTTTTAAAATATCCCCCCTTCCGACCATTCAATTAAAACGTCCTAGTCCGCCAGGTACAACAAACACAGCCCGAATTCTATCATGCAGTAGGTTTATCAATGTTTTAACCTGAGCGAAATAAATATTTTTGTGCATCTTTAAATGCCTGTTTTTCAAAAACTGATGTCGAATTTTCTCTAACTTGGCGTAGTGTAGTAACCCTTGGACTTCCGGTCAAGGAACTGTCATTCATGCTTTTGAAACACATGGGCCCGAAAAGTCGCTATGTAGTGTATATTTGCATCTGTAGCTCTAGCTTTTCTTTATTTTGAGAATTTCCAACATTAGCAATGAAAATGTGTGCTTTCAGTTACTTTGAGGAAATACAGGCATCACATCCGGAAAAGAAAGAAGGATATTTTTCCGGACTTTTAGTACAAGACTTATGATTAACAGGTACAAAACCTTGAAAACCCAAAATATTGTCAATAATTTTATTTAAAATGCTAATTTTTGATTTCTGTTCAGGGGGCTAAAAAACAACTTCCGGTAATGGAATGAAAATCATTCAACCGTTAAATAAATGGTCTGGCAAAGTAAAAGATGTCCTAATTTACTGGTACATAGTTATATCCCGTACATAATTTTCACCCCTTAAAATAGGGTGTTGCCTTTCTATTGACGGTGAGGATATTTTTTGTAGTAGGAATCCTTTGAAAATGATTTACTCATTTGTGACATTAAGAAAGTAATAATTTTTTTTAAATATTGAAATGAACATAAGCCTCAAATAAACGAGAAAAATATCTGTAAAATGTTTTCAATTCAAGAGAGAAAATCTACATGTATGTCTGAACTATTTATATACTGTAAAAGTACAAATATTCGTGGGGGATTAAATTTCGTTTATTTCGTTGTTATCAATTATCAACGAAATTAAATCCCACACGAAATTTTATATGACTCTATATTGAATAGGCTTACTCTCAAAACAACGAAACTAAATGCACACGAAACTATTTTTGATGACAAATCAACGAAATTTTATCCCCACGAAAATTTGTGCTCTTACAGTATTTAAAAATATCTAAAATAACAAAGTACTTTATTTGAAAATCCTCAAAACTTCAGGAAAGAGGAAGTATAAACATTGACGTCTATATACTGTAGCATACAGGATACTAGTAACAGTAATTGAATATCAAAACCAACTTATCTCATTTGTCATAGAGATGTTAAGATGTGGAAATTTATGATCAAATTAGTATGTAAGTAAATTCAGTGAAATAGTCATTCTGATTCGCTCTATTGTCTGACTGATACAAAAATTAATATGTATAAATTTTTTTTATTAGTTTCTCTCTTCTCATTTGAGCATGGTTTTTAATACTCTCTAAAATGCGAAAAGAAGAATTAAAAAATAAAATAATATGATTTTCTTCTTTAATCGTGAAAAATAGATGTGATAAATGTGCATGTATTCTGTGTAATCTATAATAAGTAGGAATACTTAAATTGTGTATTAATTTCTCCACCTATGATGATTTAGACGTCCATATTTGCTCTGCTCCTAATTTGTATTGTCTAATAGATTTTTGAGCTTTTTTACTGATCGTAATCTCTGTTTATATCATTATGTTTGTAAATGACTCCTGAAATTATTAATAGTAAAAAAAGATTTCATTTCTATCAATAGAGGTATATTCAACAGAATAGATGTTTACAATAGCTGCAATTTGGGCAATAAAAAATAAGTATAGGACCATTACATACTGAAAAATAAAAGCACAGCAAATAATTTTATTATATCTTCTAGATATGGTGTTATGGGCTGGCTTTAGACTCGTAAACTGCACAGATTATTTTATCAAAAGGTATTTTATCATTAACTTTACAGATGAAACGAATTCAACAATTAAACAAATTTACTACTCAAAAACTTTTTCTGTGTCAAAGATTCATTTTTCTAGTTAAATTATTACTTGCAAAATTATTCCTTTTTATTGCAGAATATGTATTTTATCACAACGAATTTTTTTTTCAGTAAATATTGTTATGGGGAAATAGAATCCTTTATAGGAGATCGACGCAGTTGTGAATTTCAGATTTCTGGTTTTTCTTATTTCACAGTTCTAGGTATGGTAATATTATTTAAAAGATGGAAATACCTTTTTGAAAATATTCTAACTATGTCTAAACAATTTTTGATTTTTTTTTTTACAGATTCTAATTTCTCATCATGTAACACAACTTGTGGAATTATCATTTCACTAGAAAACAAATGGCACAGTGCCAATATTCACAATTTCAGTGTCTCCCAAGTATATGCAACATTTGCTGGCGACATTGATAGAAACCAGTTTAAAATAAAGCATTATTCTTGTGGAGCTGAATTCATCTATAATCAGAAAGCAGAGATGTACTTACTGTGTGGCTTTAGGAAAGGTAAGACAAAAAACAATAGTCACTGTAGCAATAAATTCTTCAGGTAAAACATATGACCATTTCATGACAAAAATTATTCTCGCGTAAAAAAAAAATTATAATAAAATTGACGTTAATAAAGTTTAGTTAACAGTACCTACAAATTCATAATATCTCATCCATAATGTATTCGAAAAGAAATTAACATTGAAGCTATAATAACAAAACTAGACAATGTAATGAGCTTTTTTTTTAAATTTAGAATGGCTGACATGAAAGAACAAATTTGAAAAATTGCAAAAAAAATATTATGAAAAAAAAAACAAAACAAAATTATTATAACTAGAAAATCTTGCAAGTAATGTCATTTCCGATTTAAACTATAAGCTGTAAGATTCTTCAATCCTTGAATAAGTGAGTATTAGCAGAAAAATGTTCCCCTCCCTAATCCAACCTTTCACATTCACATGTATACATTACGGTCCAGTTTTGATTTGATTGTACAAAATTTACGGAAATTGAAAGTACAGCATTGATTCATGTCAAATCATTGATGGCTGAAGGAAAATAATTCCTGAATTTTTCTCTTCAATGTAGGCATTTCTGCAAGTGATGGAGGGGGATGACATCTTTTATAAGACTATAAAGTATGTGTAAATTTTCTTAGTTAAGCAGAATCGTGCTCAATTTTTATTAAGATTCGAAGCTTACATGGAGGTCACAAGAGGGTGAAGGAGTAGGCCATTTTCCCGAATTACCTCAATTCTGGTAAAATTTTATCATATTTGAGATACTTTTCTCTTCGGAAAACCGCCAGGGGAGATGAATAAGTCCTCAGTACCCCCTTGCTTGTCGTAAAAGGCGACTAAATGGGGCGGTCCTTCGGATGACACCGTATAAACCGAGGCCCCGTGTCACTGCATGTGTGGCACGATAAAGATACCTCCCTGCTCAAAGGCCGTAAGTGCCGAGCATAGCCTAAATTTGCAGCCCTTCACCGGCAATGGTGACGTCTCCATATCAGTAAAAAAACTTCTGGAGATGGACGTTAAACAGTACACAATCAATCTTCGGAAAACATAGAGCACACGCTTGCTTAGATACGATTTTTACACATGAACTTGTATATCTGGCACTAGTTTATAATGTATATAAATTCGGTATATAAAAAACTTCTTCTCTATGTCAGCCAAAACAAAATGAACTCTAATTTGCATAAAAATGAGAAAAGTATTTAAAACAGAAATTACTCTAATAGAATTTAAGGAACAGTCCTTACAAGTTTCAAAAGCATTGTCTGGACAGTTTGTGTGAAAATCGTAGTTTAGCATATTTAATTTCCTTCTGTCCATGACAACGACGGGTGGATTAAAAATTAAATTGCCATACGCATAACTACAACTACTGTTTATAATTTCTATAAAGATCATTGCAACTATTGTCTAGGGAATCACCTAGAACACTTCTGGACAAAATTCTAACTCTTTTCCATGGCAAAGGTAGCCATGTTGAAATTGACATTTTTTCTGCGCAAAGACAGCTAGTCATCATCTTTTTATGGAAAATTTCAGCAACATTTTCCCAGCCATCTGCAAAAAAGTCCCCAGGAATCGTCTTCTGACGTATTATAGCAATGAGTTCCCCGACTTCGTTCTTGGTGACATGATAATAATCATTCTCCCTCCTTTCACACAACACACAATTAGATAAAATATGACAACAGAATGTTACTTCACAAAAACTACTACTTTAATATCTTTTAATACATATACTTGGATACGAATGTGGGAGAGGATTGCAATTTGACGCCAAGAAAAAAATCACTACCGCAATAAAAATTTCTAACGGCCGCCAGGTAAAATATTTTTTTTCCTTGCACCTACTGGTTTTCTTAGACGTCAGATACTGCTTACCTGCATAAAACTTTTCATTAAATTAAAGTTTTTTGTTCAGGGAAAAAGTTTCTTGGTGACGCATGCCAAACAAACGAGGATTGTAACGGAACTCCAAACGGTGGAATTTGTAGACACCCAGAAAATTTATATAAACGTGGGAAGTGTCATTGTAATGATGACTTTACTGAGTTTGGAAATCGATGTCTACAAGGTATGTCAGTTTGTAGGATTCAAACTACGAATCTTAAAAGATCTTGTAGAACAAATCAGAGGAAAAAAGATGGTCAAAAGAAATATTCTTGTTATTATACACATATCTTGAAAATCATGGCTATGTCAATGTAATTTGGAACTCCTAAATTCGTATTTTACCATCGATATATCAGATCCTTAGATTTAAACGATGTTTGTTTCCATTCTTATGTTGACATGATGTATCTCGATTAGCTAGAAATAGAGCATACTTCAGAGTCTGACATCTGTTTCATTTTTGAATTATTTATGGACTCCTAATATTATTGTTTTAAGATCTTTGAAATTGAATACTGTTTGTTATCTACATATCCTTCATTACAAAAAAAGACGTAAAAGGTAATCTAACAACAAAGCTTAAAAATAAATCTAATGACTCTAACCTTCAATCGTCAATTTCCCTTATTTATACAAAAATATGCCCTTATCACCTACAAACGGGGTTTATATCCGTCAGTTGATTTGATACGTAATAGAATGCTATACATATGAAAAATATACATGTACATGTACACTGTATCTAAATCACAGTAGTTTGATTACAAACAAGTTATCAAAATAAAAACAAAAGCAACCACGTTTTAATTAACCATTTCCAAAATTTTCTGGTAGATACAATGGACCTGCCTGTAAATATAATCTTTTATTAAGTCAATTTCTGACTGACGTTTTTCATAATTATTATGAGACCTTTTTTACTCGCTGAACTGTTAACGATTTTTTTTCTGTTATTTCCTGGACATGACGGCGGGTGTGATCAGATGGCAGGGGATGCTCACTTCTCCGTTTTACCTGATCCCACCTCTGATCCTTTTGTAGTCCGTGTTTGTTCTGCTACTGATTTGTATCCATTATGGATCGACTTTTGATCTTGAATACTTTTGGTTGTATCCATATATTTCATATGTTTACGTTTTGTTCATATAAGTCCAATTTAGTTCAAAATTACGAAGTTTGATTTTAACATGTTTAAATTTGCGTTTCATTACACATACACAAACCAATGATGTTAAGCTAAAAAAAAAACTTTGAAATATTTAGTTCATTTGTACTGAACATGTTTAAAATCTGGTTCATTAAAAAAATCAGAAAATAGACGCCTTCATGAACATTGTGAAGAAGACGTCCAATGTAATGGAACGGAGCACGCATCAAAATGTTCCTTAAACGTTTGCATATGTGAAGAAGACTTCATCGACTTTCAGAATGAATGTCTAAATTGTAAGTTTAAGAAATAGCAATTATTTTTTCTATTACTTTAATGATGGCTACTATTTAGCAGATAACAAGATCACTTGATTAACTATGTAAAATGCAGTTCACATTCATTCATTTAACATTTTCATATATTCTATAGATTCTGTGGGACTTGGTGACGAATGTAAACTCAATGCACAATGCCTTAACAATGGACTACTTACCCATTGTTCTCCAAAAAAGCTTCAGAATGTCTGTTCCTGTATGGATCCATATATAAAATTTGATCAACAATGCATTTTAGGTAGATATTACACGTATTCCGAAATATTAATCTTAATTGAATTATTAATACAACCAGTTCTACATATGTCATGCCTTTAAAACGGCATAAACGTCAAAAACGAGTTTAGCTTATCTCATAACACTATATTTTGTATTCTATGTAGGAACTCCAGTGTCAAGAAGATACTGGATTGAAACTTGTATCTATCTGATAATAAAGCTGAAATTATTAACTCATTTTTATTATCAACTACTATATTTCGATAAAGGGTTTCAAATTTAGACCATTACTTGGCACTTGAGGCCAATGAATAGTGAGAGATTCATATTGTGCTAGTTGACGCCTGATAAGACAGGGGATCTCGTTTATTATGGTTATATTATGAGATCTCACGACCCTAACTTTATAGTGCCAAGTGCTTGTCGAAGGAACAATAGCTACTTATTTTTTTTATCAACTAAGGTCAGTCACAATCTGGGTTCGAACCCACGGTTTTTAAATCATGGAGTGGGCGCCCTACCGACAGAGCTACCGTGATGGTGTTATTTTACATAGAGTTCGCATCTTCATATGTTTCATTCTGAAAAGAGTAAATCTTAAATTAAAAAGTTAATATTGTGTCAATGGAAGAATAATTACACAGAATGTTGTTAATGTAACCTGCTAATAAACTATTTTGTTTAATAATATTGTTTAAATGTAATTTGATATTTGTCTTCAGGTAATCTCTCAATCGGTGCACCATGCAAGCATCACATCCAATGTTATAATTCTGACAATGACACACACTGCTCAACGGAAGGGATATGTTCTTGCATACAAGGAAGACCTTGGAATGGTTCATGTTTAAAGGGTAATTTGATAAGAATAAGGTTTTTATTTCTTCGAGCATTTAGAAGGTTTGATCACAAGCAATGCAATTTAATTTTTTGCCCTCGTTATCGAAGATTCGGGGTTAAAGACCTTTTCGCTTGTTTTCTGTCCGTCTTTCTGTCTATTTGTATGTCCATAAAAACTTTAACACTGCTCATAAAATTTGATTGATTCGAACTATAGCTCTCATATGATATTGTGCATGTGTAATTCTTAGGACAAAGTCTTTTGGAGCAAAAACATAACTGATTTCTTTAATTGATCTTAGTGTTTGGTCCATTGTTGCAAATTTTACCAATATTTAACTTTGGCCATACCTTTTGAACAGTGAGAGCTAAGGTTATGGTACATAAAATGTGTATTATTTTGGATATGATCTTGACTTTGGAGTTTCACCTACATGTATTTGGTAAAACTTTACCTTTGGCATTAACGTTTGAATTGTTATTGATAGGGCTTTAAAATTTTACATTTAAAATGTTTCACCTTAGCCATCTAGCCATCACGTTTTAATGGCAAACACTTTGGCTTTAACATTTTACTTATGGCAAAGGCTTCTGACCTGGTACCTTTGAATTGCCCCATTAACCTTTTTCACATTTAAAATGTTTCACCTTAACCGTCACGTTTTAAAGGCTAATACTTTGGCTCTTGTTCTTTACAGGTATATTCATTAAAACAATGTTTTCTATGGGAAACATTTTTCAGCCCTTGACCCTGTAGATTGACTTACACTGTAAAAACTTTAATCTTCGCCAAAAGCTGTAATGCGGGTGCATCAGTATTTTACAAAAAACACATTGTTAACTTTTTGTGGGGTTTTGTTAAAAATATAATTAGAATTCTCATTACTTTGAGTTTTGTAATCATTAAATTGACAAAAACGAAATGAACTGATGATGTTTGTCTTTGAGAAATAAATAAATAAAAATGTTGTAATTCTAACCTTAATATTCATACATTTTAAACATTTTTATAAGGGTAAGACATGTAAACAGAAACAAAAAATTGATGCGTAGATTGAGATATATTCTTAATTTGAAACAGCATATAAACAAAATCTTGAAATATAAACCAAACGTAGACTTTCTTTAATACTTAGACACGAGAATTGGTTCGCTTTCTATATAGTTCTATACCAAATTTTGCGCAATTTTATAACTTCATGACAAAATATAATAAAATTCCACAACATACCTGTTAAAAATCCTTCAATTTACCAATTTTAATTTAAAGCTATGAAAAATATTACTAATTTCTGAAAAAAAATTGTTGTTTATCCTAAAGCAATGCATTGGATATTGTGTGTTTTTGCGGATGTCGTATATTTTAACTAGAAATTCTAATCGAACATTCATGCATTTGTACGTTTTAAAGTGGGGAAATTTCTCCAAGAATCTTGTTTTCTTGACGAACAATGCACAGGAACAGAGAATGCCTTTAAATGTCAAAGTGGAGTATGTGGATGTAAAAAAGGATACTTTAGAAAGGATAATACTTGTATAGAAGGTAGTGTAAACAAATTATTTTCTTTAATCAATGCATTTGAGACATAGCAAACTTTATTTCTATATTTAAGATGAGAATTTTTTAAAACATCTTGAGTTATAATAGTGTAAATTGTTGTATACCAAAGAGGTCGGTATACAATAATTACAATACATCAACGACATACCAATCCTTCTAAATGCTGAAGAAAAGCTACGGAAAATTTAAAAGTTAGAGTATTCTTTGTAAACAAAATGTAAAAAAAAAATCCAAACAGTACCGAACTAATTCCAACGTAAACGTCAATTTTATAATATTTAAGAATATTTGTTCTTTACGGTTTAAGGCCAAACTCACCTTACTAACATTGACATTGTTAATGCTTTAGATAATTTACCGAAAAAAGTTCTTAACACAGTGAATGAGTATTGAGAGACACAATCCTCCTTAATTAATGTTAGTCAGACGTGAATTCTTAACAATTCCAAAGAACTTTCGCAAAATTTGAAATCACAAATTTTCACAAAAAGGCTTTTCATTTTTTATCCTCAAAAATAAAAATTGAATTCTTAGATCTACTTATCTTGTCACTGGTCAAATGCAGAATTGTAAAACCAATATAAAGGATATACTTTTAAGTTGATATTTAAAAAGATTCCAGAGTTTCTGATTCACAACATCTATTTGGTGTTTAGGTATTCCAGGTATTCCCACAGTTAATCGAAATTTCTATGCATTGGTAATTTTTGTTTTTAGCTATTCTATTTAGCTTATCTATTTTTGCTATTCAATGAACTTGTCACGACACCCTAAGCTTGATCAGTGATAACAAGATTATTGTTGTATTTACAATTTTATATAAAAACAAATATGTACAAATATACAAAAGAAAATTAAAGAACAATTTCAAAATGTCTATTTGCGTTCATCTTGGACCACGTTCCTAAGTCGTCCACGTCCAAACCTTGCCCATGTCATACGGGTACCACACCCTTGCACTGAATGCCACAACGTTCTCGACGTCCCGCTTATCCAAAGCGTCCAAAGCGTCCACAGTGCTGACAAATCAAAGAAACCACGTTTCCCCACACACGGCCTCGGCCTAGCGTACCACGCCCTCGTGTAGTCGCCCAGGTTGCCACCGCCGACAGCACCAAACCATCGTGTAACCATCGTGCAAGCATATATATGTACAGGAACCCTGATTGGAGATTCAGTTACCACGAATAAAACTACCTAACCCTCCATGGAAATGTGAAACTACTTTCACTGGTCAAGGAAAACGTGCGCTACCCAAGACAAACCTGACATCACCTTATATAGCGACTGGCCTCATATTTAAATCACCTGCGCGTCGCAATGGGGCTCCTTGCATGATAAACACTAAATACAAACAGGGGTCAACACAGGGCAATACTAATAAAATAGAAAACAAAAATACATGTAACAAAATCGACATTGATTGTGACATCACCTCCCCAATTCAAGAAAGTTCACTGAACTTGTGCAAAATTCACAATCAACAAAGAACAACATTTCTACAAAACTACAATGTTCATCATGTCTTACTCAAATCCTACAACCTACTTAGACTAGCAGCACCTGCGTTCTCTGATCCTTTAATCGCCACAATAAGGAACCTATCAAGTTATAAAAGTAAGAACTGTCTTTCTCTTTCGAAACCACAAAGGGTGAACAAAATGGAGTTTTAGAATGTTCAATCACTGCCGTTTTTATCATGTTTCTAACTTCCTCACACACTTCATCACGAGTTGTAAAAGGTAAAGGGTATGGTTTGGATCAAACAGGCTTGTCACTCGTCAACTTTATATGATGCTCATCCAATGTCGTGAATCCTGGAATATCTGATAACACATCACTATAGTCTTCAAGTAACGATTTCACTTGTTCACGTTCACTTATTGTCAGTTCATCACTTACTTTGACATCACTGGGTTTCTCCTTCGAAGTAGGTAAGGTTGAATCTATCAGATCACTGTCATCAACTGAATCATATTCCTCAACATCCACCATAGCTGCACTAGCAACACCTAAGATACCAGCATCAACACAACATTATTTCCTGTCAAAATATAACTTAAGCATATTTGCATGGAATGTCTAAATTTTGCCGTTCATGTCTATTCTATAATCAACTTTCCCCAATTTCTTCACTATCTCAAAAGGACCTTTCCATTGCATTAACAATTTGTTGTTATCTGTTGGTGAAAGTACAAGCACCATCTCACCTACTGACATGTCTCTGTTTTTAGCCTTCTTGTTGTAGTGTGCTCGGTAACGTTCGGATGACTTCTCTAAATTCTCTCTGGTTAACTGACAAGTAGACTCTAGGCGTTCTCTAAGATCGACAACATATTGATAAGTACTTCTCACCTCAGAATCCGTCTCTTCTTTTGTCCAAAGCTCTCGTAGGATTCTCATCGGACCCCTGACTCTGTGTCCGTATACCAATTCGAATGGCGAAAATCCCAAGCTCTCCTGTGGGGCATCTCGACAGGCAAAAAGTGCTGGTGACAGGTATTTGGCCGCTCTGAACACAGTCGTCGAAGAATCTGCTTCAGGGTACCTTTAAATCTCTCCACGAAGCCATTACACATCGGGTGATAGGGTGTCGTGGATATAACTGTTTCATCGAAAGTAAGCGACTTACTTCACCCATCAACTCTAAAGTAAACTGTGTCCCCATGTCTGTCAGCATCTCTTTCGGAACTCCGATTATGCAAAATATATCTACTAGAGCCTCAGCTATTCTTTCAGTTTCTATACCTTTGAGTGCAACCGCTTCTGGATAGCGTGTTGAAAAGTCAACTAAAGTTAAAATATAAAGATTACCATTATCTGTCATTGGCTGTATTGGTCCCACCAGATCAACTGCATGGCTATACTTCTTAGGAACAACTAGTTGAGTAAACTGCTCAACATTCTCGACTTTCTCTGACTGAAAAACTCGAAACAGCATACCTTTCTTCAAAATGTACTTTACTCTGTTGCCGTTGGTATCCTTTCCAACCAAAGCTCTGAGATTCTTCAGCGTCTCTTCTTCTTCCTGTGCTTTCAACAGATACTCTGGACAAACTTCATATCCTATCATTTCTGGAACAGAAAGAGGTTTCATATTCTTACCGTCCATGCGCTTCTGTTGTCTAGTTACTACATCATTCACAACACTAGGCTTCCAGTCCTTGTTCGGATCGTGAGGATCTCTAGCATGTGGAATGTTTCCGATAATCAAAGGATATAATGGAGCTTTAAGGCACCACGCATTCAGTTCTCCAACAAAATACGGAGTGTCAACTTTCACCTTTGCGATAGGGGTTTCAATTTTGCATCCGTCTACCAAAACACACACTTGATGGTCTCCAGTAAGTTGATCATCATGGACAAGACTCCTACGCTCTATAACACCATTGCATCCCGTGTCTCTAAGTACTTGAACAGACTGATCATTAATTTCACCAACACAAACAGGAATCTGATCTGAGAAATTAGCTACACTGCAAGCTGTTGTAGTTAATAAATCTGCCGAATTTGCCATTGAAAACGTTGAAGTTGATGTTATAGATGTAAAAGCAGAGCACTTGCCTGAATCTTTATGTTCCTTCAAACTGCTTCCTGACTCACTTAAAGTATTCGCTTTCACCGCAAAGCTATGATTCTTATTTGATGACTGTTTACACTGAGATGCTATATGTCCTAGCCTGGAACATTTGTAGCATCGGATATCCTTCCCTGTCTTCTTCGAATTCTGTTGTGAAAAGGACCGACCATTAGTCTTCGGCGCTTGCTCCTTCTGACTGCGTTGATCTCTTGCTGCGACTGGATTTCTGTTTTCAAATGTCGTCTCCTTTTTGCTAGAAGAAACTGATCCGCTACCATACACATCTCTTCAATACTTTTTGGAATACGCTCCTTTAGAAACAACACTAAGTCTCTATTACAAATTGATATGAACTGATCTCGCAACACTAAGTCATATAGTCCGTTGTAAGTTTTGTTAACTTTTCCAAACTCAATCCATCTATCTAGATAACTTCCTAAACGAACTGCAAATTGTGTAAAGGTTTCACCTACCTCTGGTCTACACCTACGGAAATATTCTCGAAAACCGTCCTCTGTTTTCTCGAATCTCCTCAGCAAAGCTGTTTTAAGAGCTGAATAATCAAGAGCCTTTTCTTGTGGAAGTAGGGCATATACATCAAGAGCTCGTCCTTTAAGTAACGGGCTTAAGTTCACGGCCCACATTCCTTCGTTCCACTTCTGTGCTATAGCGTATGTTTCGAATCGTTTAAGAAAAGAGTCTATGTCATCTTTAACCTCATAAAAGTATGACATTTTAGGAACCTTTGCTAATGAACCATCAGATATGTCTGACTTAGCAGCTTTAGATTCTATCTCTTTCAAACTCAACTGGTATTTAAGTTCTTGTACATTAGCTTGGTACTTACTTTACAGTGCATCTAGTGATTTCTTTTCTTCTAGTCGAAGCTTCTCTACCTCCAACTCTTCTCTCTTCAATTCATAGTCTCTGTCCTCCTTTTGTCTCTCTTTTTGCTCAACTCTGAGTTCTCGCAGATGTGCCTGCTGTTCACGGATAAACCTCTGAAAAGTTAAATTCGTGTGAAGGAGCGAAAGACAGAACTAGTGTTTTCTCCGCCGTTGCAACACTGGGGACTTTTGTGACTAAACGTTGTTAGACAAAACAGAAAATTATCATGGACTTTTTTAAATAATCTGACGATCATCAATATTGTACGTCTCTTAAATCAAAATGTAATTTAACATTAACCTTTCTCTATAGAAGAAAATACACAGAATATACTGGTTATCTTTTTAAATACTGTACAATCACATATTTTCGAGGGGTCAAATTTTCTTGGTTTGAGGAAAAATATTGGTTCATTGGGATTTTATTTCGTGGTTAAAGAACAGTTCAGTAGTAATATAAATGAAAGATTTGCATTTCGTGTTAAATATAAATTTGTGGGTTTCTTTATACCTTGAAAATCGCGCAAATTAAACCCCACAAAAATAAGTTATTTTATAGTACTACACAAACTTGAGAATATTAATAACTCACCAAAGGTTTCACTGGTGTTAACGGTTGAGATGTACAGAGTATTTCCGTTTTCCGTTTACTAGTATAACGTGCACCGGTTATAATGTAGGATTTATCAAAGTCGCTTGAGATACAGATTATAAATTTATAAAAGATGTTTACTATATATCCATGTATGTATCAACATTGTATCGGAAAAAATTGAGAAACATGTGTTGTTTATTTGATAGCGAGGTATTCTTTTCAACGCTATTTATCATCCACGCACTGTTTGTAATTAACCTTTACTGTATCATGTGTATCAAGTGACTTATTCAACGAGGAAAAAGATTTATTCTTTATTACGCTTTGATACACACGAATCATATTTATTTTGCCTATTCCAAAATTGAATTGATTCGTTGTATCACAGGCGTATCGTCTTTTATGATAAGTACAATCAAATTACTGGAAAAGACTTTTTATTTTCTTTATTATTTACAGTGAATAAAATAGATTACAAATCGTTTGTGCTCGGGAGTGGAGGGTTTCTTCTCGGTGTCTTTTCTACAGTGATCGTTTTTGCATCTTTTCGTAAAGGAGGGTTTGCAAGGAGAGAAAATCAAAGGTAGAAATCAGTCATGTCTTTGTATCATGAAAGCATTCAAGATGAGAAGGGCATAAATAAAACTTTCAAATTCTTATTATAGATCTGTCATCCGACTTACCTCAGATACCAGAAATGACGTCAACCAATACTCTTATGTCGAGCACAGAGACATCAGAAATCAAATCGTAAGAAATTTGAAAGTAAATTATCATCATCATCACCATGTATTATCCATTTCAATTCCATATAAAATTTATGTGAGCCATTTTACATGTGATCAAAGCATAAAAGGCTTTTAAAACTTTATTGAAGGAATAAATAAGATAACAATATGTAAAAAAGGTAGTGCGACAAAAATCATGCATAGAATTTTAAAGAAGAAAAGAAAAATCATGCATAGAATTAAAAATTAATTTTTCAACAACAACAATTATACTAGTATTGAATTTATTACAAAAGCGTTTATAAGATTGTTTTACTTGTTTAAATGATCCCCCACTTGAAGAAATATTTGTCGTCGACAAGATTTAAGTAGTGTAAATCAAAGTATGTGTCCATTATATTTAATTTCAGGAACTATCATCATACAATCCCGAACATCAAAATATCCAAACGGAAAATGATACATACAATCACCTGCACGAGGAACGACAAAACATTTCAGAAAACGATTATGGCTTTTTTCATTCAAAATAAAGGATTCTCTACCAAAGAGGCACAAAAGTGATAAATAATAAGCAATTTTTAACTCTTTGTGATTTTTAGTTTACAGTTTTTTCAATGCTAGTGATTTAAGGTTTGTAAATAATATTTTTTTGTTTATTTATATGTTATTTAACGCCCCTTTCGAGAATTTTTCAATCAAATGAATTTACCACCATTTGCCGGTGGAAGGCGGCAAATTTTTATCCAATCATCAGCACTTATGGCTATTGAGCATTGATTGATTGATTGATTATATATTGTCTAACGTCCCTCTCGAGGATCTTTCAACGATTTGGAGACGCCACCACTTGCCGCTGCAGATTTTATACTAGCTAGTATGCCCAGCAATCAGGGCCATTAAGCAGTGAGGAATCTTTTTCGTGTCAGCACCTACCGTGACACGCGACCTCATCCGAAGGACAGGTCTCCACGTCCCACACTGGGATTCGTACCCGCGAAGTAAGGATCAGTTTACTTCGCGATTTTTGAGCACACGGTCTAACAACTGCAGGAAGGTGGCCATTGATCAGTGAGGAATCATTTTTGTGCCAGCACCTACTGCGACAAAAAACCTCATCAACAAAGTAGTCTACACAGTGAGGTTCGAACCCGCAACGCAAGGATCAATTTCTTAAATTACTTTGCGAGTCTGGAGGACACGCTTTAACTACTGCACCACGCAGATGATTAAAAATATATGTTTATATGCAAGTAGGTATGACATTCAAAAAATGAAAAGCGTAATTCTGGGAAAACAAAATATAAATACCTAAAATTTATTATGAAAAATTATGAAGTATTGTGAATACCTTGATCGACTTACCTTTTAACTTAAAATAGTATTGTTAACTATAGTTTACTTCTGTAAACATTGTAAAAGCCTTTGAAATAGCTAATATTGTGAAAACAAAAAAGATTTTTTATGATAAAACTTAATTTCCGATGTTATGTTTGTCTCAATCTTGTTGAATTTACATCTTTAGTTACATGAATAGTCCTTCTGAAAATAGGTATTTTTAGGCGCTAGTTTTTTTTTATTTTCCAAATTTGAAACAAAAACATTGACTTCGATTGTAAGGTTTTCGTCGTCCACCCTTTTGTTTGTTATTTCTTTAATTGTCTTTAAGCTTTTTGCATAAAAAGCTACATCGTTTACATGTACATCAAATATTGTTACTGTATACAGGGAAATATTCGCCCCTTTTTATTTCCGCCCATTTCGCACTAACCTCGTTTGGGCGAATTTAAAAAGGGGCGAATTCAAAATATACAATATAATTTCTTAAACAAAACTGTGACTGGGCGAATTTAAAACGGGGCAAAATTGTTTCCAAGTGTGAAAGGGCGAAAATAAAGCGGGGCGAAAATAACCCTGTATATAGTATTATGGATGCTTACTAACATTTTTGTACTTATCATTAGACGACTATTAACATCATAATCAATTTGACTAAAATAAAGTATTATGTACGGAACAAAAAAAAAAAATTACATTTGCACCATAAATAGCTTGTAAATAGTTACTTGCTTACAACTTTGAACAACAAAAGTATACAAATGTCCTTTTTCTCTCTCCTTAAAATAGTTATTGACAATTTCGCAACAGAAAATTTTGACATTAAAGTTGCAGCTCATATTGATCTAAAAAACGTACATAACAATTGTTTTCTTTATTTTTCTTCTGATAACTTTTTTTTAATATGTATCATTATTATCATTGAACATTTCACATTGGAATAATAAATAATTTGCATTAACAAAGACAAAGTATTTTTTTTTTCATTTTGCCATTTTGCAAATCACATCAGTTCTTGATGACTTTCATGACCATCAGAATCACAATGATGGTCATGACATAGTAATACGCAGTGTTACAATCGTATTGAATGATTAAGGGACAATATGAAAACCATCTATCCTTCTGTATTCAACAATATAGAAGAGAAAAAAATACATGTTCATCATTTACATGATCAGTACGTACTCGTCCCTGATGACAAAGCAAGTGACAACATTTTCTTCGTTTGAAAGGCTTATTATATATGTTGTATTTTAGAAGAACTTAGATTTAATTTTATAAGTGACAATCCTACTCATACTCATAGTTTCCTATATAGAAAATAAATTCTTCAAAATCATATGTCAGTTTTGAATATTTATAAGATCCCAAAGAACCAAACAAGAATTTTGAACTACAATATCTATATTGTATTCCAAAACATCATAAAAATCCATACAAAGATACAAAGAGTGTTCCAGTAATTGCTAAACAAAGCCTCCTTTTTTACTTCTCACTAAGATATTAAAAGAAGTGGAGTAGAAATTTCAAGGGTACTGTGCAACAATAAATTTATAAAAGTGGTGTAAATCAATACAGATACTTAAAAATTCCAACAAACTTTTGGGCAATTTGAAATCACAAGATTTAACCTAAACATCATCTTAAAAACTTTCACCTTTATACACAGCAATTCCCCACGCTTTTTTTATAGCATTGCCCGCTGCTTTTGCGATGAAAATGGAACTCATAAATTTACAAACCCTGTAATTGATAATTTGCAAAATTAGTTTAAAAAAAAAACATTCTGTTAGTAGTCACAAGTACTCTAAGGTTGACATCAAAATGATGCTTAAGTTTCTGATAGACAATGTCTACATGTATGCGTGTTTTGGACACCCGGTCTTCCATCGATCTATTGGAATTCCCGTTATTAGTAGACCTAAATTTGAATTTATATAAGAAAAACTTGTCTAAAATCTTGTACATGTAAAGAAGAAAACACTCGCTGTGGCCACCAACTCGACATTTAGATATATCGCCGACAAAATGCCAATCAACAATGGTAATTTCCATTCTGATGTCGATACGATATATCCAGATGAGCTTGAGATAAAGATTCCACAGAGTTTGACAGATAAATTTAATATTTGTATAATTTACTTGAAAAAGACGTAAACGATAATCTAACATCCAAGCTCTATGATAAACTTGCGCATAATTGATGACTCGTGAAGAATTATAATTCGTGCCATATTTAATCACGATATAAACATTGACTCTTCATAAGCAAGACTAATTTTTTCACAAATTGTCGTTATTGCTCTATATAAACTTATGGATACTATGACACAAAAGAATGATATTTCTGCGAGATCATTGTTTAATTGCAAAAATAAAGTTTAAATATAAATTTGGATTTATTTAAACATAAAATTTATGTTTTAGAGTCTTCTGATCTTCATCTCAGTAAATTTCAGTGAGTAGTTGTAACCATGCCAGGATAGCCACTCAATTCCATCAGCGAAGGAAGAGTGTGTCCCTCGAAGATATATTCCGTTCAAGTTGGCCTGGTGACAATTATGGTACCACCATCCACCTTTGAATCTGCCAGCGCAGTTGTTCGAATCATGGTCTTTTGTGTAAAATTGAACACCGTTGTGACCTGTCATTGAATCACCTATAAAAAAATCCTGGTTAATTGGTAGCTTCTTGTTTTCATTAAAATTCATAGCATAGCAAACATTACGAATAATTTATTTAAAAATCTAATTATTTTCAATGACATCAAAATCTGACCTGCTGTTCCTATGTAGTCTTCTATCGTCAGCTTGTAACCTTGACTTTCGTCTCCAATAGAAAACCGTCTATAGATGGCATAACGAGACTGGCCCGAAAAGTCAGACATGTCTATACGTAGCTCGTAGAAACCTTGACTGACAATTTCATAAATTCTATGATTTCCTGAAATCAATATTGAAACACACATTTACAGAGAATTAGAGATGCATAATGACAGAGAAAAATATAGGACCATTCTGATCATTTAATTAGAAGTTTTGGCAATTTATGATTAGCACAATATAAAAGGAACAAATTTGCGTAGTTCTAAAATTGTTTTACTCTATCATTATTTTTTTTTTAGATATGCAAATTTAGAAAATATAGTAGAATAGTGTCTACAATATTGGATTATTTTTGCAAAATACATGGAAGAGTACCATACCAATATGTAAAAAGGATATAAGCATGCAGAACAATTAAGTTGACATCATTAGCTTTCCTGTTTACGTATATTTTTAGTATGTTGACCTTAATTTGTTGTATGTTTATGCACTTATATCGCAAGTATGAATGCATTTATCCCCTGTCAACGTGTAATTATGTTGCAACGTGAATATTTCTATTAATGTAAAATGAGATATACTGAGAGGACGAACAGGATTCAAGCTGAAACGTCCAATTAAACAATGAAAATCAAGAACAGAGCACACACAAACTTCTAAAAATAAAAGTTAGGATCAGGTGCCATGACAGTCTTTACGTAATACACGTGTATTTATTTTTGACTTGGAATGTTTCTATATGAATTTGGAATCTCAAAAGTGCTACGTGCATGAATCAAACCTTGCTCTCTGTCTATCTTAAAATCAGATTTAACAAATAGATAGGTAACTTGCACGATAAAATAACTGCCTTGCAAGTAAACAATTATCTTACATGTTGACGTCCTGTTTCTGGATTTTTAAAAACAATTTCTTGTACGCGAATGGCTGAAATGTGACATAGTAATTTTCTTGCTCAATAATTGGGATTTTTCATTTTTATATTAATTAAAATGCATTTATCAAAATAGCTAATGTATACGCTTACAAAATTATTGTCATCAAATATATATCATTTTATTACATTTTTACCCGTGAAATACTGTAATTTATTCATTGAATAAAAATAATATCCTGTCACAGTGTGAAAGGATATCAAAATGATATCCTGTCACAGTGTGACGAATATCAGAAGTGCGGGAAAACTCTCGATTTCCCTTCCCAAAACAAAGATTTCTGTAAAAAAAAATCTTCCTTGACCTAACATACGATAGATGGAATTTAATAAACCATTCTATCAGTGAATAAAACCTTCACGATTACCAAAAATATGTAGCTTAATCCATGTTTACAGTGTTTTCATTTCACATAACTATATGACGTCTCAACCGCTCAACTATGACGTCACGAGCCTATGACTAAATCACAAAAAGACAGAGGCAAAGGAAAAATCAAAGAATTTTTTTTTATAAATCTAATAAACAGAAAATTCAATGTTTGTAGTTGAATATGGAACTTATTTCACTCGTGAGACGGGATTTTTTGATATTTCACTCGTGCTTCTATTTCCTGATCATAATAAAGGATCAGACAGCGGGCGTGACCGGTCGGCAGAGGATGCTCGATCCCCCGCACCACCTGATCCCACCTCTGATATTTCCAAAGTCCGTGTTCATTTGCTCCTTTTCTGTAATGTTCAAATGAACTTTTGAGCTCGAATACTGTTCGTTTTCTCCATAAATTTCATTCTTGGTAAAAGTGTTTCTTCAGTTCTCATGAAACAAAACATAAATGCCTGTTTCCGGCTTATACACCTGTCCGGTCTGCCTTTCGTTCTTTTTTAAGTATTTAAGATTCACACACCTCGTATTGAATACAAAAATTAAGGTTTCGTCAAAGGTCAACATGTTCGAAAATTTATTTTTACAATAGCCCCAAAACTATGTAAGGTATAAAGTTAAACCTTTTACAGTTTATCAATTTTTCATTGATTAACAGATAGAAAGTATCACTTGATAAAAAAAATAGTAGGAAAAAATAGTAATTGAGAAAAATTCTTCTTAAAAATGCATATATTTTCAAAAAATACACCTAATTAATTCCGTGCTCTTAGTGAAAACCATTATTGCAGAAACAAAATATGTTTATGAAGGAAGGGCAAGTTGGACTTGGATAGCATCTGGAAAGTTGTTTTCCCTGTTTATTTTGTCCAAATGTTAAGACTTGAAAGTGAAAGTACATTGCAAATGGCGGGTTCTAAAGGGGTCTTGTCTTTATACATGTCATGCTTTCAATAACAGCCTTTCAGAGACTATTCACATCCGACTTGCCCTTCAATGATAAACATATACCGTAAATCTGGAAATTTTTGCTGTAGTTAAATTTTTAGCAAAGAACTATATGCGGTATATTGCATATGTTTGCCCCCACAAAAGTCAAATTTTGAAAACTTCCTGAAATGTGCTGAATTCAATAAATTGTACGAGAAATATAAGTAAACAGAAAATATTACAGTTCCAGAGCAGTGTATTCACAATTTCTGTTTTTATGACGTCACAAACTAGTCCGATTTTATATCCTTTTTCAGAAAGAGGGCAAAATGGACAAAATTTCAACAATTCAAGCTTTAAAATTTATAGAGCGCATGTGTGTTCAGGAACAATATTGACATATTTCATTGATATTATCATTCTACACATTATATCAAAATATTTATCCTGAACACACATGCGCTCGGTGACTTTTATTTAAAATATCGACGAAATATGTACATTTTTCTGCAAAATTCATAAAAAACTGAAATTTACGTCATATTTGTGACGTCATTACGTACATATGACGTCATTACTTATGAAATTATTCAGTGCTTTGAAGTCAGCATATACTCCCCTGTTTAAGGACTTAATTAAATATTACTCCATCAAAGTTTGATTTTGGGGGGCAAATGTTGGTTAATACCGCATATAGTTCTTTGCGAGTTCATTGCATTCGCAAAAATATTTTTCTTAAAAATAAAATACCAGTAAGAAAATGTAAACAAAACAGGGGTCATTCGCAAAATTTTGAAACGTAAAAATTAATCAACAGCATTTTGACCCAGATTCGCAAAATAAAATCGACGTAAAAATTTCCAGATTTACGGTATTATTTCTGCAATGATGGTTTTCATAAAAAGGACAGAATAAAGCAGGTGCATTTTTTTAAAAATATGCTCATTTTGTGATACAATTTTTCTACAAAAAAAATCTTTTTTAAAATATTTGTTATCAAGTGATACTTTCTGTCTATTAATCAATGATATATTTATAAACTGTAAATGTTTTGACTTTATACCAGACATAATTTTGGAGCTATCGCAAAAATAATTTTTTTTAGACGTTGACCTTTGACGAAACCTTAATTAGAGTAAAACTCGTTTAGTACGAACACGGATATTGCGAATTCAAGGATTTATCGATGTTATCTTGGATCACCAGCTATTAAAATACGACAAATTCCTTATAAGAATATAATGAATTACGGATATAGCAAAGTGATTTCATAGGTCCCATTGACTACGATATAACTGAGTTTTACTGTATACATTATTTCATATGCGACAGGTTAAAGTAATAATTACTGATAAAATTTTATATAAACAATTTTACAATCTAGTGTTTAGAACCTTAGGGTTTTGAAACAATAGATCTTCATCTTTCACAACTGTAAAGCATCAAGTCATGACTAACTTCAGGGATTTTTGCAGGAAAATGCTTATGATGAACGTTTTAAAAAGCTTTTTCTTCGTTCATATGTTATTTTTTATACACTTAGTTGACCACGGATATTTTGTACTTTCCCGAGCATGACAACGAGCACACGACGGATGTGAATGGTCGGCACGGGATGCTCACTCCTCCATATCACCTGGTCCCACCTCTGATGTTTTGGAGGTCTGTGTTTACTCCACTCCAATTTTGTATTGTTTGATGGACTTTTGAGCTCGAATACTGTTGGTTATCTTCACATAATTCATCAATAGTCTGTAACTAATTGAGGAATGTGTGTAAACCTACCAAGCCAGAACTCATTAGACTTGTTTCCGAATCCATATTTATAGTCTGTCCAATTCCTAAAGAAATCTTCGGAGCCATCAGTTCTTCTTTGGATTACCTTTTAAAATAGTTTGTTAACATTATACCTTGCTACATTTATAGGTCTATAAAATTTTCAAGCATGAACTGTATCCAACTTTTACATTATATCTCTTTTCTACAGTTTTGCTTGGCTAGGTATTATATTGTACAAAGACATATTTCTGTGTTTTTGCGAAATCTTAATAATAGTGCATGCTGAAAGATTATATTATCGAGTATATTAAAATATTCTGAAACTGCTTTTTTATAATAAACTAGCTCCGGGCTCATAGAATATATATTTTACACATCAAAGACGTCATTGATTCAAAGCTCATCTACAACTACAAACAAATTTCTTACGGTCCATCCTCCCCCGTCCGTCAGCTGGTCACAGAACACGTCCAGTCTCCCGCCCTTCTGAGGATAAATCGTGTACAGCCTATTCTCCCTGTATCCCTCCCACAGATAATCCTGACAGTCTTGAGGAATGGCAAATACTGTATGTTCACAAATATGTCAATATTATACGTAATACATAAGCACTAAGCACATATGGTTATAATGATTATACAAAAATTTGGAGGAATTGATTTTTTTAATCAGAGAAATATTTTGACAAAAGTTTGATTTTGATAATTAACAATTATGTCTAAAATTTCATTGAAAATAAAAATGAAAATGTAAAACAACTAACAATTTCTCCTACATAAAATATACACTGTTTCGTGTACGTCTCATAAAAATATTTAGAATATCAAAGAGAAATAATCAAAGAAAAAAAAGATAGTTTATTTAATAGTGATATTGTAGATTACATATACATATAAGCAGATATATATTTTTATACCTGGAGCAACAGTCTGGCGTGTTGTGACGGGTTCTAAAAGAAGCCCTTGGACATCAAATGGAATAAAGAAAACCAGGCACAGTTGTGACACAAATAAGTATATATGTAGATCCATTTCGATCGTTATAGCACTGGAATAATACTTATCATATAGATAAACTTCATTGTCTTATCTTTTAATGTTAGGACCTCCTGATATGAATGACTAAACAAAGGTTTATTGTGTATTGAAATAGGCACTATAAATCTTATGTTTGTGAATCTTATTATTTGCCTTTTGTATTCTATATTTTTCTCATTAATTGGAAATACCTGATATTTGGGAAAATGAGTATTACTTTTTTCCATTCTAATTTTAAACTATTAAACTATTCAAGTTCATTAGAAAAGTTTCGATCAATTAATTGTCGGGTGATATACTTATTACACGCTGATTAAATTGATCGAATCAACTGAGATATATAAACTCCGTATACAGGTGATGAAGGTATTTTGCTGCATAAATAAGGGCGGTTGACGATAGAAAATGTAAAGTCATCATGTTTATCACAAAGCTTGGTTGTTAGATTACCATTAGTGTCTTTTTCAAGTAAAATATCCAAATATGATACAGCAGGGAAAGACTCTGTGGTGTCTCTTATCTTAAACTCACCAGGATATATTAATTGACAATACGTCGGTCGATATATTTAAATTTTGAGTTGAAGGCCACAGCATGTGGGTCTTTTTTCTTTTCACAAATAAGATTTTGAACAAACAGTTAATCATTTGATTAGTAAAACGTCATAACGTGATAAATTTTATTTGCTGCGAAGGCCATTATATCGACCTTAGAACTTAAAAAATGATGAATTTAAACGAAACTGCTGATATTCTTTTTTCATCAACTTGTTTATCAATAATTTACCTCGTTTTAGAAATTGTTCATATGTAGAGCATGCCAAAATACGATCCAATGGTATGGTTTATTAATACGTTAAATTTAGCCTTCTTAAAGAAATTAAAGTTTTAAAAATTAGATAATATTAATCAATTCGATAGTTAAAATGGATTATAAACTGAAAAATAATATCCCAAATTACGTGAAATAACAATACCATAAAAGTAAGAAGTTGGTTGCAAAAGGTGAAGAGCCCAAATTACTTTTTAAAAACTGGTTTTCTGTTGAACAATGAAAAACATATTTTTGTGCTTTGTTACGTTACATAAAATCAAATTGAAACAGTGTTACTTTAATCTGTGTCAGAAAAAAATGCGTGAGCTTAAAAAAATACGCAATGATACATAGGATAACTTTTATAAGGTATAACCCCAAAACGTATTTTAAAAGATAGCTGACGGACAACAATTGAACTTAGTTAGGGTTTTTCCATACATATCTGGCATCTGACATTAGTTTCTGTTCTGACGATTGTCTATCTAGAGTCTAACACTAAATCAATCCAGAAAAAAAAATATATGGACTAATCAATAATTCTACTTATTCTAGCAATCTGCAAATGATAAAATATGAACGAGTATTAAGAAACGTTTGTATGTTTATGTTTGCAATATACCTTGCTAAAATTTTATTTTGTATTTGTAGAAAATTTTCATTAAACATATTTGTATCTGAGTAAATGCATGATTAAAATACTGCAGTGATACAGTATATATAAGTTAAAGTCGTCTATATTAAGTGTACAAATTTCAAAAATATATGAAGTGATGGAAGTGGAAATGAACTTTTTTGATTATCTTAATGATGAGAAGTAATCCTACTTATAAAAAAAAATATTGATCCACCTTGGTTTAAAATTCAGATGGGGTAAAGTAGCCGTATTTACAATTATCATTCGATCGTTAAAATTCTTCCTTTTTACACGCACTATTTTGACGCACTAATTTGAATAATCTTGTCCTTGACTTTATCAAAAAGGCTTTTTTCATTAGTTTTGTATTCAGCTGTAAAGTTTGGTACAATTTTTGGAATGAGTAAAATAAATTATATATGAATCTTTACCTCCCGATGATGTTTGTAAGATATTTCGATAATTGAAGTCTTAGATTGTTCAGAAGGGACATTGTCCCCAAAAATATCATTACATAGACCAAATACATGATGATGAAACATTGTTTCCAATGATTGTTTTCAGAAATGATAGCTAAAAAATGGTAGTTAAGACCGTTCATATGTTCTAAAACTTAAATATATCAATAAAGCTCTCTTTAGAACTTGGAATTTACGACTAGATCTAAATAAAGAAACAGCAAATATAATTTTTATTATGAGCAAACCATTGATTTTGATCTAAAAAATATCAATAGAGCATATTGATTGCATTTCACGAGGATCTTTAAACCTTGACAAGAATTGTCTTCAAAAAATAAATCATAATTGAACTTCCTGGTTAATTTGAAAGCTCATTCCTGTGACTGATACCTTTAAATAGACACATGTAAAACTTGTAGTCAGAGTGATCTTATAATTAATTTTAATTCAATCGGTTAGACTCGATCGTGTGCATGTTTTTTTCAAACATCCCACAGGGACAATTAAAATGTAAGTAACACTTATAGGATTAAACTGATGAGATCTTTTTATTTCAATTTTAATAAGATAACGGTATCCACGCTTTAAATACATTTAACACTTATTCTTTCATTCCTTTCTTTACAATTAATCAAACATTGATTGTCACTTTATTTGCATATAGACGTACTGGTGTTTACAATGTAAAATAATTTTTTTTCTTGAATAATAATAATAATAATAATAATTCAAGGCAATAACGTTGATTTTATAACGGCATTAAACTTAATTTTGAATATATAATAAACTATAGCCCCTTTTAATTTTTTGTAAATGCTCGTTATAGATTTATTGGGTACTGCGACACTGATATGTGTACCATTAAAAATATAATTTTTCTGATCGTATTTTTACCCCGATAAAAATTGTTTTACTTCTTTCTGTTCTTTTTAGATAACCATCCTCAGTGTTCATGTATGCTGGTGTTTTCATCTCAAGGTATGTAATACTTTACATTTTAATTACTTTTTGCCATTTCATATCAATAGCATTTGATTTCAAAAATCTACAAAATTTTGAGCATTTTACCTTAGATTTATTTTTTTAAGCAAAAGCGAAATATTTTCCTTAGAGCAATTAATTTTGTTTTGGTTCAAGAAAATACCTTCACATTTTTCATAACAGTTAATGAGAATACATGTAACAATACATATTATTTTTCATTCAGAATCATTTCGTTTCTATTTTTCATAGGAATTTAACCCTAAAATTATGATTTATTTTGCTAGCACATAATAATTGTTATGCTCTTAATATGAGATTATCGTTAGCAATATACAAGCATAAAGAATTATGTTATTGAAAATTCATTGTTAAACTATATTAAAATCTCCATTTTGTATTTAAAAGTTTTCAGAAATATTTTGAAAAAAAAGTAATGTTATTAGATAGTGAGGCATTCCATTTTAAAGTATCTTTTTATACATTTAATTTCGCTGATGTAATATTTCACTTTATATCCTTCATATGGTTTTTTTTTCACATTAGAGAGAGGTAACGTTGACTGTGCATGCTTTTTTCCAGGTAATGATCTCTCCTATCAGTATCCTACCAGTTCTTTGCCTGCTTCAATACACGCTGGCAGGTATGTGACGATTTCTTTGTACAAGTTACAAGATTGAAACATTCTATGATATTTAAAAATTTTCCGCTTAAAAATACATTTATATATATGTAAGATAAGATTTTTTATAAGTTGCCAACAGAATAGAAAAGTTTCCGTAATAACCTTGGATATTTTTTTGATAATGTGCTTTTGTATCTATACATTTACAACTTTTTCTATTCTATGAATAAAGGGCTGTGGTGCGCATTGTATAAATGCAGATCACAAACTTTTTTTTTTCAAATCTTGAGTTTGATTTACATAATAAATCGTATTGCAAGGTTATTCACATCAATTAAAAATATATATCTAATTCTTAAACAAACTGATTCAATATCACTTTTTGTCTAATATCTACTGATAAAATGTGTTCAGGATTTCAAAATATTTTTAAAACGTAAAATAAAGGACACATTGAAAAAGTAGTAGAAATGCAATTGTAATGGTTTGGGCCGTGGATATCGGCATGGATAGCTCAGCTGGTAGAGCACCTTACTAGAGATTCAGGGGACCCGGGTTCGATTCCCGGTCCAGTCATACATTTCCAGTCATACATTTTCTCCTTTCCTGTTACACAAATATTAGATTATTTGCGTTTTTTCTTATTCATTTCTTCATGCAGACCCGTGTACTTCGTATACCCTGCTTAGCGGGCAGTACAAGCGCTCCGGTGGTTATACACTACAATCGTCAGATACCGCTGTCAGTGACAATTTTCTATCCACTGGGTGGTATCGATTTGATAGTGGGGCGGGAAATGATATGGTTACATCAGCTCCTGCTATGAGCCAGTGTGGTACTTTATTCCCAATGTGGATGCAAGGTATATAAAAGTGTGCTTGGTTTATTACTTTTCGAAGTTTTTATTTATTAATAGGGTTTGCTTATCTGTATCCTTTTGAGTTCTCAATGAATTGAATATATTTAGTAAATTTCTGCTGTAAGAATGTGAATATTATAAAATATTTGTAAATAAATTGCTAATCATACTGTTATATCTACTGTTATTTCAAATAATGTTGATTCATTCTATCCTGCCTTAAGAAATTAAACACACAGTTAAATTCAGTCAATCCAGGTTCATCTCCAGAATATGAATGAATGAAGAAATACAGAATTCAATTACATTTACCTTAAATGGCATACAAGGCGTCAAACTACGTGATTCCAAATTATGTAACAATGTAGTACCGTAAATCTGGAAATTTTTACGCCAATTTTATTTTGCGAATTCGGGTCAAATTGGTGTTGATTAATTTTTACATTTTAAAATTTTGCGAATTACCACTGCTTTGATTACATTTTCTTATTGGTAATTTATTTTTAAGAAAAATAGTTTAGCGAATGCTATGAACTCGCAAATTTGCTAAAAATTTATCTACAGCAAAAATTTCCAGATTTACGGTATATAGACAGTTCCTTTACTCTTTAAGGTACTCTTCCCTCTGACGCTGACGGGGAGGTAACCAGAACAGTCTGTATTGTGGGTTTTGCTAATTCATGTGACAGTACTTTAACGATCAGAGTAAAGAGTTGTGGCGGATATAGAGTATATTACCTTGTACCCGCTCCTCAAACGGCTACTGGATACTGCATAGGTAAATAATGTCAAGTAGTGTTAGAAAAAAATGTCAATTGTGCACTTTTCTATTGCTTTTCTAAATAAAGGTATTCATCTATGTATTTTATGTTGAATAATTACAGAAAAATTGTTTGTTTAAAGAAGTATTGCAATGCAATTTTACATGCTTTTAAACCTATTTACTATTATATAAGTTGCTACTCTCTGAGTTATTTAAACGAATTTTATCATTTATAAGTCAAGATACAATTATCCATATAACCTTTTCCTCAGGAGAGGAATCACCCTGTCCATCAGATCAAACATCAGCGTCTGGATTCACACCTTGTCAAGGTAATTATTGTTTTGGTCGGAATATCATATATGCATATATGTAACACCACTGTCAAATTTAGTATTGTTTTAAGTAAAATAACAATATAACCAATTGTTTCAGCACTTTCCCCTGTGAACACAGCACCTTCAGTAAATGTGTCATTAGAATATGGCCAACAGCTCGCTCAGTATCAACCTTTAGAAGCTGTTTTCAAGTGTCTTCATATGGAGCCCTCTGGGGGACCTTACTGGTACGACACCTACTGGTACATCAACAAAGACGAAGTAAAGGTCATAGAATCCAAACCCTACCAGGACAACCAAAGCTGGCTTTATCCTAGAGACTGGGTCCACAAGTACAACCTGAATATGGTGGTGAGTTTTAGATATATCTACATATATGATAGCAATTAAAAATTGGACGATAGGCGCAAAGATTAATAAAGATAGATATCAAGTAAACATCTAATTACAATATAAAAAACAATCATATACGTTAGATGGAGACATAAGTATGAAAACTTTTTTAAAAGCACATGTAGTAATCACAGTGTATAGGTAATGACAAATAATGATATAAATATTAGTTTTACAAGAATGAAAAAAAAATGCCATTGTTTTTAATTTCTTTTGTTTGTTTGTTGTTTAACATCCCTTTCTTGACTTTTTCACTCTAGCAATAAAGTAGATTTATTTAAGTACCAGTCCACATAAAAATCAGACAAAATTGTATGAAAGTGATACATGAAGGTTTTCAGAATTTCATTCATAGATTTATTTTGAAGTATTATCAATGTATGTAAAATGAAAAATGTTTTGAGTCATGGTTACCATGGAAATCCGGCCAAAGTAATTTCCTTTGCAACCGGAAGATTTTTCACTGTTGATGGACTGGACCAAAAATCACCTATCTTTATTGCTTAAAATAACATGTTAATACAATGAGAATTATTCTTACTTATTGGTGTATTTAGTGTTCTAACAAAGTAATAAAAAATATTTAGGTCTTAAGTCCTGTGCTACATATTGGAAGGTACACATGTTTTATAATTTTTGCTGATTCAGCATTTTTCGTGATTTTGGCAATATTCAAGGCCAAATTTTAAAAATGGCCAGTTTAATACAGTTGTTACGCGTATTTCACATTAAAGTAGAGGTATTTCTCTTTTAGAATTTGAAGTCAAATCTATGGGCTCTTTTGAAAATCAAATCTGTTGCCTAGCAACAATTCTGGTTGTTTTGATGCAGAAAATAATAAACAATGCAAAAAAGTTTACGGGAAAATAAAATTAACTGTTACCTATGATAAACGATTCACAAATTTTAAAAAATAGTATAATTAAATTTAGACTCCCAAGCAAATTATTAAATATTTCATTATTCATTATCTCCATAGCAACAACAGGTTTTCCATAGCAACGAGGATAAGAAAGGTAATTTTGGCGTTTATACGTGTAATTTTATTAAGGCTCATTCAATTTAAGTCAGAAAAATGTGATTTAGCAAAACTAACAGTGAACTGTTGGTAAGTCTTAGTATTTTTTTTTTTTGGTACTTTAATCAACCCATGGCAACGATTCCCTGTATATGGCAACCAATGTACCCTATTCCTCCTGTAAACAGATATGACTTTGGGATCATAGTGTTTGTCATGGAAATGGATATTCAATTAACGTGTTGATGATTGTATATGTTGAGGGTGCTAAAAAAATATAAAATGTTCTATCAATTGGTGTCATGGCAACAACTACAGGTGAGCGGGTTAGTTAAAAAAACACAGTCTAATTGCTTAAACAGAACTCTGACTTGGCGAATTTAAAACGGGACAAAATTACTTTTAAGTGTGAACGGGCAAAAATCACACGGGGCGACAATAACTCTGTATACAGTATATGTACATTGTATTTCAGATATGATACCAAAATAATGGTAGTTTCCATAAATAATATTTTAAGTAACTGGTACATACACATTAGTGTGTATTGTGGATTAAATTCAAGACACTGTGCATGGTATTATTGGCATGGTTTCAATGGTTGCATTTTATTTCCTGAATCATTTTTACTTCCGATATTTTAAAGTTTTCGTGTCTGACATTTTTCAAGCAGTACTTTTCTGCAATGAAAGTATAATTAAAGACAGAACTGATCAAAAATATTAAAGATTAAATCATGAATAAATCATTGAAATCCAAAATAATGAGTTTTGCAATTGAATTTGGTTCATGTTTTCAACCAAAGGCCATGACATTCAAAATTTTTTAAAGACGCACCATTGCTCATCATAACTACACTTAGCATGTTTAGTTTGGTAAATCAATACCCATAGACAGAGTAGGAGATAAAAAATGCATTTCAACCAATCTAAGTAATATTCAGCAATAATCAGTAGTGCCCCCACCCCACAAGAACCCCTGACCCTAGGCCCACACATTTCACAGTTTTGCAAAAGGTACCCTTGTTCATCATAAATGTTTGATTAATATCATGAAGTGGATTTCAAAGAAATAACTCATTTTCAATATATAGTTAGAGCCCCAATCCCAACCTCAACCCCCAACCCCAGCTTTCTATGATACCCCTATTCCAGGGGTCTTAAAATTCACAATTCTGGAAGAATGATCCTAGTTTATCATAACTGTGTCTGTAGTTAGTTTGTTTACCCGGGAACAGTAATGAAGATTTTCAAAGACTTATTGCAATTTCACCATATAATGATTAGAGCTCCACCCTAAGTAACACTAGAATCCCTGATCCTTGAGCCATGAAATTCACAAGCTGATCCTTTGGCCATGATCAAAGAGGCACTCTTCCTCATCATAACTATGTACTATGTAGTTAGTTTTTTTAATACCTAGGGATAGAGAGGCACATTTTCAATATTAAATACTTGTATGTATGTTCACTATATAATCAATAGAGCTCCCCCCCCTAAAACCAGAACTCCTCACCTTGGGGCCATGAAATTCATGATTATCACAGAGACTACTTTCTTCATAATAACTATTTATATGGTTAGTTTGTTTAATACCCAGGAGCAGAGGAGAAGATTTTCAAAGAATTAATGCATGTTAACTACAGTATATAATCAATTAAGCCCCTTACTAACACCAGAACCCCTGACATGGGCCATGAAATTCATAATTTTGGAAGAGGCACTCTTGCTCATCATAATCATTCTTTCCGAACTCTCAACATGCAACTAACAACATATTACTTGAATATCCAATTCCATGACAAACAATATGATCCCAAAGTCAAATTTGTTTTACAGGAGACATGGCACATTGGTTGCCATGTACAGGGAATCGTGGCCATGGGTTGATTAAGTTCCCAAAAAATTAAGAAGAACATCATTTCATTGTCAATTTTGCTCAACCACATTTTTCTGCATTAATTTGATTAAGCCTTAATAAGATTACACGTATACACGCCAAAATTACCTTTCTTTGCCTCGTTGCTATGGAAAACGTGTTGTTGCTAAGGAGATAAATAATAATGCAATATTAAATAATTTGCTAGGAAGTCTAACTTTATTTCTACTATTTTTTAAAATTTGTATCTCTTTTATCATAGATAGCAGTCCATTTGTTTTCTCCGTAAACTTTTCCCATTATTTCTCATTTAATGCATCAAAATGCCATATTTTTTGCTAAGCAACAGATTCGATTTTCAAAAGAGCTCATGGATTTGACCTCAAATTCTAAAAGAGAAATTCCTCTTCTTTTATGTGAAATAAACGCAAAAACTGTATAAATCTGGCCATTTTTAAAATTTGGCGTTGAGTATTGCCAAAATCACGAAAAATGCTGAATCAGCAAAAATTGTAAAACATGTGTACCTTCCAGTGTCTAGCACAGAACTGACTTAAGACCTAAATATTTTTTATTACATTGTTAGAACACTTTAAATATGTATCTTTATTACACCAATAAGATAGAATAATTCTCAATGTATTAACATGTTATTTTAAGCAATAAAGATAGGTGATTTTTGGTCCATCAACAGTGAAAAATCTGCCGGTTGCAAAGGAAATTACTTTGGCCGGGTTTCCACGGTAACCATGACTCAAAATATTTTTCATTTTACATACATTGTTCATTCTTCAAAATAAATCTATGAGTTGAAAATCATCAAATTCTGAGAACCCTTTGTCTGATTTTTATGTGGACTGGTACTTAAAACTTTGTACATGAACTGAAAAAAATTGCTCTTGAACTAGGAATTGAAATGTATCAAAGACATATTAATTAAACTAGTTAGAAGTAGTGACTACTTTTTACATTTCTCAAGTACTATGGTCGATACAATGAAAATACAATCGATCATTAAGTCAAACGCCGACCTTCTATCCTCATTTAAATTGTTAGGCCGTCACTTGCACACAAATTGTCTATGAAGTTTTCAGGAGTTTTTTTTTTTGGATCACGATAAGGAAAACATGGCGGGTGTGACTGGCCGGTAGAGGATGCTTTCTTCTACATTGCTTCTGACCATTCTTTAATGTGATTATACTTCTGTGTTTGTTGTGACCCAAATTTGTCCTAGTTAAATGGATTTGAAGCTTTGATATTGTTCGTTATCTTCATACTTTATATGGAAACATTCATATAAGATTTTATATGAATAAAGAATAACATACGTATGTAAATACAAAACAGTATATTTAAAATTTAATGAACTGTTCAGGTAAAGAGATAAAACAAATGGCAAGTAAAGTTATTGATTTTATATATAATATATATGATTATATATACATACATACATATTAAAAAAAGCTAAAAAGAAAACACAAAAATCCTCAGTTAAGCTTTAGCGCTTTCATTTTCAATCTTCAGAAGCTTATAATAGTATCATAGTAACAGTGATTATGACGTCATGTTAAGCGGAACGTTAAATGTCTATTATGACGTCATAGATACAATATGACAAAAGTACGGGGAAATCACAAGTAATTTATAAAACTCTATTAAGTTTTGGCTGAAAAATACTAATAAAAAAAAAAAGAAAAGAAAGAAAAACATTTTATTAGTATTTTTCAGCCAAAACTTAATAGAGTTTTATGAATTACTTGTGATTTCCCCGTACCTTTGTCATATTGTATCTATGACGTCATAATAGACATTTAACGTTCCGCTTAACATGACGTCATAATCACTGTTACTATGATACTATTATAAGCTTCTGAAGATTGAAAATGAAAGCGCTAAAGCTTAACTGAGGATTTTTGTGTTTTCTTTTTAGCTTTTTTTAATATTGTTATCCGATTACTGAGACATTATTTAAATTTTGGACATACATACATATATATATATATATATATATATATATATATATATATATATATATATATATATATATATATATATATATATATATATATATATATATATATATATATAGTTTCTTTGTGCTTTCTATATTAATATTTCTTCACTTAGGGCAGTTATGTTAGTTTAAGAGTTGTTGTAAATTGTGCTTTATAAATAATAATTAATTTCATTACAACATGTATTGGTAACAATCCTCTGTTAAAAGTAATGTCCAAATGACTGTATCTCACTTCTATTCTCAATGACCGTGTAGTGTAGGAGAGCACCGCGAGAATTCCATCGGCATCGAAAGCAAGTATTTTGACTTGCCTAGATAGCCGAGCGGTCTAGCGCGCTGTTCCTGCACTGCTAGGAGACAGATTCCGAAGGTCGAGAGTTCAACCCCGGGCTGGGGCGGAAGTGGGTATCCATGTAAAAGTGAATTTCTTTGTGCTTTCTATATTAATATTTCTTCACTTAGGGCAGTTATGTTAGTTTAAGAGTTGTTGTAAATTGTGCTTTATAAATAATAATTAATTTCATTACAACATGCATTGGTAACAATCCTCTGTTAAAACTAATGTCCAAATGACTGTATCTCACTTCTATTCTCAATGACCGTGTAGTGTAGGACAGCGCCGCGAGAATTCCATCGGCATCGAAAGCAAGTTTTTTGACTTGCCTAAATAGCCGAGCGGTCTAGCGCGCTGTTCCTGCACTGCTAGGAGACAGATTCCGAAGGTCGAGAGTTCAACCCCGGGCTGGGGCGGAAGTGGGTATCCATGTAAAAGTGAATTTCTTTGTGCTTTCCATATTAATATTTCTTCACTTAGGGCAGTTATGTTAGTTTAAGAGTTGTTGTAAATTGTGCTTTATAAATAATAATTAATTTCATTACAACATGTATTGGTAACAATCCTCTGTTAAAAGTAATGTCCAAATGACTGTATCTCACTTCTATTCTCAATGACCGTGTAGTGTAGGACAGCCTGCGAGAATTCCATCGGCATCGAAAGCAAGTTTTTTGACTTGCCTAGATAGCCGAGCGGTCTAGCGCGCTGTTCCTGCACTGCTAGGAGACAGATTCCGAAGGTCGAGAGTTCAACCCCGGGCTGGGGCGGAAGTGGGTATCCATGTTAAAGTGAATTTCTTTGTGCTTTCTATATATATATATTTATGAACATTTGTTTGACTGTGATACTTATTTTTACAGATATACTTTTATATATACTTTAAAACCATCTTTTTAATATACCCCGTATTCTAGTATTTTATTCTGTATGATAAAAATTTTGATACACAAGTACAATTTTTGCTCTCACAATATTTTCAGATGTTTTTGGCGCAATTTTATTGCATGACATTGCCTCTCAATTTCTATGTTCATTTTGACGTCATAATGCTGTTGAGTTGCTATGCATTGAAATAAACACGACTGATGAAGGCCGGTAACACGGTTGAAATATTTCGAAAAGTGTTTTAAAGGTTTTTTTTATTATATATATATATATACATTTAATTATATGACGTATTTTAGATAAGTTCAGACTTATTAAATTAAATTGTTCCTTATATTTGTTTTGTTTCTTTACATAAAGATAGGACTTTCCTGCAAATTACACACTTTAAATCAAATTCGTTTAATAAATATCACAGATTTAAAAAAAAATAACCGATTTATTTCCGGTGCTGAATTAAATAGTTGACACAGTTTAAAGTTGGGATATTTAACTTCAAACTTTGAATTTGAACGTGAATAACAAACATCATGTAAACCTACACTTATTTTTGTATGTATATTTTTATCTCAGATACATGATTATGCTACTTATGTAAATAAATTATTTTATGACAACGAATTCCATGATTTACATTTCTCACCCTTGGTGAGCCTCATATTTTGTTTAGTCAGTAACCCGTATGTAGCCTCTTAACTTTCCTTTGATTTTATTGGCTAAGAGATGGCGTTTTTCTGTACTAGCCTAAGCCTGGAGGAGAACAAAGATTTTTTTGTGATATTTTTAACCAGTTTTTTTTTTATGTACCCTCCCTCCTCCCCTTAACCACTTCAGGTCCCGCACCTTTGCCAGTGTTATGAGATTCAAACTACATTGTATACCCTCTGTTTTCACATGTTAAATTCTGGATTTTGTTTTGTATGAAGAAAACTGTGTATACATGTTTTACAATTGTTTTCGGCAAACAGTAGTTAATATAGAGTTTGTGTTCTGTTATTATTATACATGTGTGTAAGAAATATTTTATAGGTGTAAAGAACAACTGTCCATTTTGTTGGTAACCTTTGATGTTTATATTAACTGCAATTTTTATTTATTGATCAAAACCTTTATTTTGATCAATAAAATTCAACTTTAATATACATTTGTCTTTTGTCCTTTTTCGTAGCATTTGAGAAAAGAGGAGGCATAAATAGCTTTAACTTAAATTTGTTAAATTTTGGCTCTTAAAACAGATAATTATAACGCATGCTGTCTTCTACATAAACATGATAAAAGGATACAGGAAAAATTGTTATATCATATAAACAGGGCTTTATTTGACAATAAATAATATGAGTAAAAGTCAATTTTCTACGATTACAGGTAAAGTGTTCAGTGCGAGTACGATTTTCAGACGGAGGAACACCAGGTCATCACAACTATAGCATGGAATTTCAAGCCGGAATATTTGTGAGTTTTTTTTTTTTTTGTTTTTTTTTTTTTTTTTTTTTGATTTATAGAAACTTTTATTCTTTTTTATAATTCAAACTCTCTTTTGTAGAATACTTACATTCCCCTTCCGAAAAGAAAATGATTTATTTAGCTCTACCTAAACTCTTTAAGTGGGACTTGATCATTTTATACATCCCTTGTATTTATAAAACATAAGAAAGGAACAATTTAAAATGTTGTGTTTAATGACAAGGATATACATTTAACCTGCAAAGTTTTAGTAAAGAGATAAATTCAATTTTTGTATGTGAGTCAAAAAATGGGAAGAGAGCAGTTTTTAATAGTTTAGAATAGTAAATCGGGGGAAAGTAATGTCTGAAACATTTCATTGGCAATTATTTAGAATAAAAAAGAAGGTGAAACGCAACCTTTATGAAGGAATTTGCGTGCTGACAAAATATCTTCTGAATTTTAAAGGAATAATTCTAAGGCATATACTTATAAATTACATAATAAACATTTTATTTAGCCTTCATCCTCTACATATTCCGTTAAAGAAGGAGAAACGATGTCTATCGAGTTAACAGTGTCCGTGCCTGTTGGTTGTTTTAACATCGGATTTAAAGAAGGCTGTTTTGCCCATCTCTACATATTCACCCCGGAATACCAAGACCAGGTCGGAGCATGTCAGAATTACACTGAGCAAGGACCCGTGTCATTTGATGATAAAGCCTGTGGGATAGAAATAAGATCCTCCAGTTGGTGGCTCAGTAAAACATTGAATGTTACCGGAAAAACCGACGGATTTATTAATGCCAAAGATAGAGATGTATTTATCAGACTTGGCTCTGAACGTAATGGAATGGATCCATCAGGAGTTTGGGACAATGTGACAATTCCTGATATTAAGGTAAAATAACGTGTTTTCAATAAACCCAAATAGAAAACAACAAACTTCTGCTTAACATTAGATTATTTCATTGCATTTGCTTAGGTTTTCCTTTATGATGTGGATAAAGGCATGAATAACAAACTTTGTTATGCTAGAACCGACCCAAGAATGGAAACGTTCGATAAAAAATATTGGACCGCCCAGCTAGCAGGAGAATTTATAATGTACCGAGATCTCAGAAGAAAAATAAGCGTAAGAAGGTCTTTTAGCCTTATTTTATATTACAATTTAAAGAAGTGCGGATAACATATTTTATTTTTTCAATATTTTTTATTATTATTTGATGTACAAATCTGATCTTAGGTTCATGCCTTATTCTCGTCCTGTACCTGGGACGGATGGTTAGGACAGGGTCCCTGTGGGTGCGGTATTGCTGTTAGGGTGGAGAATTCTCTGTTTGTACATCGTACCTGTGGGGAGATATCATACCGGTACTCCACGCCTCTCATTCATCACGACACTGTGTATCACGTGTGTGACAATAGGCACATTGTGGTGGAAACTGGAAATCCTTGGACAAAGGTATAGTCAAATTCTCTTCTGAAAGAAAATTCTTTAAATATTACATTTATTAAAGTATTTCAAATTCAAATGGATATATACGTTTTAAATTCATTGATGAAAGATATATACATAAGACGAAACATTAATGTTCCAAAATTGTATGTAAAGACCTGAAAACGAAATGCAGTAAGTACTTTGAAGAAATGCCCATTTTCAAATAACACTTTGTAAAGCAGATACAACTACTTGCTTTATTTCTTTATGGGATCCTACGATTGCCTTCTCAGATTACTCTACCTACTGGAGCTATTGTAAACTACAGAGTAGGACACAGATGGTTGTATAACATTCACATTACGCCCTCCATATTCGATGAGGACAATGTGGATGGATTATGTGGCAATCCTAACAATGATGACACTGACGACTTTATCCCTCAGGGATCCACCTCTGCTACCCCAGACAAAAATGTCTTCCAGTCGAGTTGGAGGTAAAAATGAAGGCAACAGTATCAACAGATGTAAAATGATATTTGTTTGTTTTTAACGTCCCTCTCGAGAATTGTTCACTCACAAGGAGAAGCTTAAAATGAAGTATCATTGAATTATAATGAAGAAATTAAAATAAATACAAAACACAGTAAGGATTGGTAGCAAACAAAATATGAAGTCTAGATTTGCTCTTTTTTTCATATTTGTAATTTTCCATGTGGATTGAAAAAAATGCGCTACTGAATTTCAACATTAACGAATTATTGCCTTTAATGATCTGAAACATAAACAATTATCCAAAAAAGTATTTAATAACTTTATTGCCTTTTTATCGTAGAGTTGCCATTAATTCAACGATGAGCCTTTTTGGACCAAATCCAATGTTGAAGAGCAGTGACTTTGAGCTACAGAAATACTGTGAATGTGCCACAAAAGTATCCAATTACACTGATCCACTATCTAATCATTACACTGCAAATTGTTCCATAGCAACTCCGGCTCTGATATGCTCTCGAAAAACAACATCAGAAAGTTTCACATCTACATGTGAGAACTACCAAAACCGGTACAAGCGTGAAGCGAACGATATGGATTTTTCACATGAGATACTTCGAAGAAGTGTGGACTCTGATGACGTCACAGATATACCTCCTCTCACAGTAGATCCACAGTTTGATCCTAACTTTATCCCACCGGTGATTTTTTAAGAATCAATCATATACGTTCATCAACATCATAACAATTTTGTGAGAGCGCACGTTTGTATCGCATACGTGGAATATTTAGAGGGACGATGCTTAAACGATTTATGTTTAAACATTGCAATTAGAAATTTTACGTTTTTAAGATAACTAGAATGATGACCTCTCATGTGAAATGAAATTTTGGTGATCTTCAATTCATATTGTATCAAACTCTTGGAAAACTACCATTAGTTCCTCGCAAAAATTTCTGCATCTATGATAAAGCAAATTGTTGACAAAACTTACTAGCCTTAACGAACAATCAATCACAGTAGTATTATTGTAACCCTCTCTGGCGTAGTGTATGATAATATTTCAGTCAGATCTTAAGAGAAATAAAAGCGTGTAATGTTATCGCCGTTACTTAATGCATTATTCTCTGATTTTGTATAACTAATTGACGGATTTTTTAGACACCTACCTGGAAGAATGGGTGGACAGAGTCGACTGCTCGTTCACACTGCGAGAATGCTGTCCTTAGTGACCCAGCTAGAGCAGAATGTCAGAAATACATCCCAATGGAGAACAGAACCAACATTGCCATAGAAGAATGTATTCTGGATATACGGGTAAAGTGTGAAGATTCAAAATAAAAAAAGACCAGAAATCCAAAGGAAAAAAAAAATAATGGAAAACTTATCTTCATAAGAATGTTTTCCAGCGCTTTTTACATTATAAATTTTAACATAATGATTTTTAACAAAATGCCATTCTAATATCACATTGAAGTTAACTCTGAAATTACCGGACAATTGCTAATTATGCATAAGATCTTCAAAACAATTATTCAATTGCTGAAAATGAAAATATTTTTTGAGCACTGATGAATACTACTTATATTTAACTTACTCATGTGAATAGTCTTAACAAAATATATTGATGTGAAAAAATATCAATTTACCTACAGGATGCCGGAACTACGGAATTTACAAGCTACACTATCGAGTCGCTTAAACAATTCTGTTTTGAAGAAATAAAAAAATACGAGATTTACTACGACACAAATGGGACCCAAACAGAGTCTGTCGTAGACAGGATCGGAAAAATCGTATGTCCAAATAATTGTTCGGATAATGGAGTCTGTACTGGAGGTTTGACTTTAATAATATATGTGTGATTGCGTGTACCAATTAAAAATGTTTACAAATCATAAATTGAAAGACCACGAAATGAAGAAAAAAAGTACAATTTAAAAATCTGTTTTTGGTTTCTCGAGGTAATGCAAGAGGTTAACGTAATACAGAATTTTACGTCATTCTTTTTTTTTTCAAATTGCTTTAAATGGAATTAAATCTATGTTCGTCACAGGTGTATGCATATGCAGTGCTTCATTCGTTGGTTTCGATTGTTCACACACCAAATCAACACCTCCTACCAATACTTCCTTACCGGAAAATGGCTTGTGCACAACGAGTAAAAGAGAATGCGCAAAGACAAATATTTACGGTTACTTTTTAGAGGAAAATATCCATGTGAAATTAAATTACTTTGAGGTATCTTTTTATGTTTTATGGAAATATTTATTAGAAGTATTAATGGCGTCACTTTAAGCTTCAAGGGCTTAAAAGAGAATGCGCAAAAACAAATATTTACGGTTACTTTTTAGAGGAAAATATCCATGTGAAATTGAATTACTTTGAGGTATCTTTTTATGTTTAATGGAAATATTTATTAGAAGTATTAATGGCGTCACTTTAAGCTTCAAGGGCTTAATCGGATATTAATCTATTTCTTTAACTTATATTTAACTTATAGAGGAAAAAGCCTCAAGCATGGAAACAGGTCCCTTATCTTTATATTTCAATTTATTTCATAGATTAATTTAGTTTTGAGAGAACTTTTAAGGTTCTTATTTTATCTAACCCTTTTTTCTCAGATAACAGATTCAGGAAAATCAGCAGTGCTATCTACACACACAACAGTTGCTACGTATATTGGGCTAACTATCATAAGGGCAGACTTTCCCATGAATTCACGTAGGAAAAGATCATCATCTGCAAATGTTTACGGCAGTGGCTTTGATATCAATCTTTCCTATGATGGAGTCAATTATGGTGACACAATGACACTTATCATATATAATGATGAGTGCTACAATTGTAATGCATCAACATTTGAATGCACTTTGAAGGTAATTTTTTGAAATCATTTGAAAAATGCTGAAAAAAGTACATTTTTATAATAGTTTGTAACAAAATTAAGGTGTTCTTTATTTTCTACAACACCCTTGCCATATTATATTCTTAAAGAAAAGCTAATAAAGTCCTACGGAATAATTGGCGTCATGACTTTTCTAAGTTATTAATATAATATCAATTTTATAATCACACTTTATATATCTTAATTATATAAATGTTTTCATAAAAACATCAAATAATATTACACGTATAACTATAAAAACTGATATTTCCTTTGTTTGCAACACAGAACTATCCACTCATTCCAATGTTATTTACAATTCAATGATTAGAACTATTTATTATATCATAATTTCTTTCATTTCCTGTTATTTCCCACTGTAGCCGTCTTGTCCGACAGCAACGACAACAACAGCAACAACAACTGAGCAAACCACAAGTGGGACAAGAAGTACATGGTCAGCAACTTCCCAGACTCCACCCACAAAACAAGGAGGTGGACGATGGCAGCCACCAGAAAAACCAGAATCTGATGAAGAGGAAAGTATGTTTAAGTTTAAAATTACGTGTATTTATATCAGAAAAACATATATCCTTTGTCGTAATACTCAGTACTTTTTCTTTTTTATTCTTCTCATTATGTAAAGGGTTTTGTCATATCAGCTTTTAAAACACATGTATATATACATTGTAGATGTCCATATGGGTTTGATACTTACTCTAATTGTACTCGCCGTCCTTATTCTGGCTGTTGTCAGTGCTCTACTGTATATGAAGTTGCGACCCTCAAGGAAACCGAGGTATTACAAAATGTTATTATTTTTTTTCTTTATGAAAACTACTGTCAAAAAAATGTTTGTGGTGGGTCAATGATCTAGGATTTCGTTGGTCACCTTTATCTACGAAGCAGCATCCTTGCTCACAATTACTTTCTCAACATATTTATTCATTGAATTTCTGTACATGTATGTACAAATTACGAAGGAAATAACGTCCCCAAGAACCAACAAAATATTGCTAACCAAAGACAATTTACCCCCAAGAAATAAGATGATTGCAAATAAATACTAAGGAGGACAAATTATTAAAGAAAAAAAATATTAATATTTTGTATTGTCTAAGTCAAAACAGTTATATCCACATTTTTTCTTTTACAAGTCCAATGACTGATGGCACCAGCACCGTTGAATGCAGTCAACCACCTCGTCAACATTACGACACCATATCACAGGGCCGCTCTCGGTCCCCTCCTCCTAGATACGACACAATTAGTCCTGTTCCACACAGCGACAAAACTCCTACTGAACAATCAGAATCTCGTCCACAGACAGCTTCTGGTATTCACGTGTACTTTGAAAACAAGGCTTACAGCGATAATTAAATTAATGATTCCAATTGTGATGTTTTTGGAGGATCATGTGTGACATGCCTCCAACCTTTTTTTTTTGTTTAAATGAACTTTTTTACCATATTGAATTGTATAAAGTTTCTCTTTTTTTTTGGGGGGGGGGGGGGGGGTTATTTTTAATAGGGACATTGATGTTGCAGCTGTTGCAGAAAAATACAACCTGCGTATCTGTAATAGTTACAACATAAATGCCATAACTAGCAAACAAAGAACAAATTTTTATTGTTTTTATTTTATCTATATAAATACTTTTAAGAGCAAAACTATCTGAGTTATAATTCATTTTATCATAGAAATGTGCATTATTTTATGTTGTATCGATTGAACAGCCGCTTCCTCAAGAAATCTACCAACTGAAGGTTGCTTGTTCAGCGGTGTTAAATACTGACTGATAAACATCCGTAGTCTTCATATTAAGTGAAGGAGAAATATTCATATGATAATTAATTACTCATGAACTTCAATTAGCCGGTTTGTTTAATGATTATATCAATCTTTTTTTATCTTTACCTGACTCCCTTCGAATCGATGACGCAAGCTTAGTAAATCTGAAATGTACTGATTTCCAACATACTCAAAGCCCAAAAGTGTGTCTGGTTATACCCTTCGCTTGAAAAGTGGGGAGTGTACGTCTATTACCCATCTATTATCCGCAACTCCTTTTAAAGGTATTTAGACACAGATTTGAAGTTATTATTTTCTCTATAATATTACGACTTATATATTTGAATAGCATTTCACACAAAAATTAATTAAAAATCTTATTTCATATAAAAGATATTAAAATTTCAAATTTTTTGGCGGGTTTGATTGACACATCCTTGCTCTTTCACAAATTAATTCTACTCTTAATCCTTAGGAAAAGTGGCAATCTCGTTATGTATAAATGAAAAATTTTGATACTATAATCCAAAAAATTCAGAGAAGATAATTATGTTCGAAAGCAAAACAAACACACAATATATTGTCAGTCCGTGCAGTTGTGGTAAGCAGACTGTGACGATTGAACGCACCCGGTGAATTGAAAACATCAACAATAACAGAACTCGTGCCCTGTTTACAAAAACTGTGTACATAACAAGAGTGTGCTCGATTTGTCAATCAAATCCGCCAAAAAATTTGAAGTTTTCAAAACTTTTAAATGAAATGAAGAATTTAAATGAAGATTTTTCTTTAATTTTTGTGTGAAATGCTTTTAAAATATGTAAGTCGTAATATTTTAGAGAAAATATTGACTTCAATTATGTGTCCAAGTACCTTTAAACACTGAATGAAATTTATTGAGACTTTCAAATTTTTTTCAAATACAAACTTGATAAATAAAAAGTAGGATTGTGTATTTGTAGATATGATTTGTGTGAGTTCATTCTTCAAGTGATGCTAACTGTTTATAACAGTTATAGTTAGAAAAATGTCAAGTGTTTTCATTTTAATAAACATAAGATTTTTTTTTTTGGAAAACAGGGAAAGCGAGGATTCTGTAACATTACTACTTTCTTCTAAATATTTTCATACGTTTACAATTTTTTAAGTAAAACATGAACAATATTAAAATCATATGCCTTTTCTTATACAAACTTTACTAAATGAACATTTTGAAATACATAATTTATAGCAATTTTATAGATTCATGTTTGCTCTTCTTCTCATTTGTATTGTTAACGTTGGAATTGATTTTAAAAATGATGACTGTTCGTTATATCAATATTTCATTTATTTAATGTATTTATTTATTTATCTTTTGTTGATTTTTCGGTTGATATAATAAAGTTCAACGAATAATAATCATTGGATCCTATTTTGACTGGCTTGTTTTTTTTTTTTACGTTATAAGGTCTTTTCTTATACTGAAGATCGGAATAATGCTTTACGAACGATCATTTTAAAATCCGGACAGGTGAGCTTGCGATAAAAAAAATACACAGAATCAGACACATCTGATTCATCATCTGATTCACATTTGAATATTTTACCGGAAAAAGACATTATTGCTAATCTAACAACCAAGCTCTATGACAAACGTGAAGACTAACTTTTCTATCGTCAACTTTCGTTACTTATGCAGCAATATACCTTCATCACCTATACATGGAGTTTTTATCTCTTAGTTGATTCGATACGCAAGAGCATGCTCTACGTATGAACAATTTCTAAAGCGAGGTAAATTATTGACAAACAAATTTATCATCGATACAGATGATGACTGACGTTTTTCAAACTATTTCTTAGGCCATTATTTACACACTGAATTGGTGACAGATTTTTCCGTTATATCTCGATCAAGACAAGGAGCACACGACCGGTGTGACTATAGCGTCATGCATTTTTATATAAGTTATTTTTTCTTGCAAAGTGTGTAAAGAACAATATCAGAGAGAGAGAGAGAGAGAGAGAGAGAGAGAGAGAGAGAGAGAGAGAGAGGCTCATACAACCCGGTGATACATGGGTATCTGTGATATATATATATATATATATATATATATATATATATATATATATATATATATATATATATATATATATATATATATATATATATATATATATATATACATATATATATATACCGGTATATATAAAGCACTAAAAAAACCAACAACACTCTCGAACAACCCACACAACTATGTATTGCTTACGCCTTTGTTAATCATTTTTTCCCGATAATAAATATTTCAAAATTTATAATAGATTATAATTCATATGTTAAAATATCCCTGCTATATTATTTTCTTTGATTACTCTTTATCAAGTATAGTTACGCCATTTTCAGAGAATGAAACAATGTACGATTTACTGATTGTCGTAATTAATTAGCATAATTAATTCGTTCAATTATGTAAATCGCACTTCACCGGAGTATACCCGATAGACAGGACGTATTTCATAGCGGTCCGGATTTCTTTCTTTAATAGTGTTTTTAAAAATTTCCAATTCAACATGTAGCTAAGTTTGTAAATATATAGTGTTTAGTAGTTTAGTAGTAGTGCTAGTTTTTTCTCTTTTTCATGTTTTTCCTTTGTTCTTATGACTTTTTAACTTTTTTCTTTGTCCTGAGGAAGGGACAGGGCGTCCCGAAAATTTGACAATTTTTATTGTTCGTGTCGTTGGTCATTTTTAGTGCTTTATATATATATATATATATATATATATATATATATATATATATATATATATATATATATATATATATATATATATATATATATATATATATATATCTCTATCTCTACTGCTGTATATTTGTATGCAAGTACATCGGAGGGTAATGTAGGGGTCTTAATTGCAGTTTTACAAAACTACAGTTCGTGTTGAAAATATTTATAAACTAAGCTTAGAATTTTAACTTGGTTATGCTAATCTAAATATAAAATATAATCGTCCTGTATTTACTATAATCACAGTTATCCGATATAAATAATATACAAAAAATTATCGCCATCCTGATTATGAATACATTTTTATTTACAAAATATTGTCGATATTTCCATTGCGCACCTTGAATATACTGTCCCTTCCTCAGGACAAAGAAAACAGTTAAAAAAGTCATAAGAACAAAGGAAAAAAAGAAACAAAAACAGCGGTAGTTTTGGGCGATATGTCGTCCAAGATATCTGCTGTTGAATTTAGACCGTCCATGAACAGAAACTCTCTTTGCCTTTTTTTTCTTAACTTAGACTATAATAAATAAAGAAAAGCGATATTAGCACAAACGGCATAGATAACAATAATCCGTTATCCAATGTTTTATCTTTGTATTTATAAATACAATCTATACCATGTTGTAAAGAAATGTCAGAAACACACGAGTTTCGAGAATGTAACTTTTAGTTCAAATTTCATAACGTTTGTCTATATTCGAAATGATAAAAGTGGAGATAATGAAGAAAGATCAATTCTTAAAAGAAATCTTGCAAACAATAAAAATTACCAAACATAAAAACACTCGAAAATGGTGAATATTTTCGACAATATTGCTGGTCAAAACGTAAACAATATTCCTATCGCGGTACATTGTAAACAAATGGTAAAGGTTCACACAACGGATAGGCCTATAAATGGAATATTTTATTATTTTTTATCTTAATATTCACACTTAATTTTAAAAAAAGGATATGATTACTTTGTAGCTTTAATCTGTGTTCTTTTTTTAAATTTCACATTTTTTTAAATATAAACACGAAGTTTCATTATAATGTTTTTTTCTTCATTAGATATCGATGAAAGTATTTATAAATACATTTTATTTATATTGAATTCTTTCATTAAGTAGTTTCACTCAAAATATTATACACGAAACACGGAATGTTGACCCTGATTAACAAACACAGACTTACTGCGTACTTCTACTTGTATCATAATAAAAATTGCAGTAAATATAAGAATGAAACAAATTTTATGAGTTTGCAGTTTTAGTCTGACAAAAGATAACGAACGCGAGCTCTAAAGATAAAAGTAATTAAAGAGGCTGATCAATAGGAATTAAACTTTTAAATCGGACGGTCCCACGAAATAGATCATGGGAATGCAGCTGCTACTTGCTTGTTTATGAAAAAATGTATTTGGTTAGGGTGAATAAGGAACCAATGGTAATGAAGTGACCAGAGGTCAGATATTTGAATAAATTAGCTACAACAAATAATATTTAAAGATTATGCAAAAGATTGGAAATTATTTTAAAAGTGCATTAGAAATTTTAAAAGTACTCAAGGTCAGAATAATAGTAATTAAAATTCAAATAAAAATTTAAAGTAATTATTGCAAATTTTGAAGGAGTTACAAATATGGAGATGTAAATCGACAAAGGTACACCTAGTACAAAATGACTGGCCGGGATAGACAGGACTTCAGTGGAAAGCTGAATCTTGACTGTCGTGGTTGCATTTTATACAGGTGAGATTATTTTGTAGACTTGCGCACGTTTTGATCAAAATTATTAAATTTTCACATGGCTTATTTTATTTACAAGTTAAACTTTTTATATTATAAGTAGTTATATTTTTAATATGGTTTAGTATCTTTTGTAAAATTATTAATTGTAATTATAAATCTTAGAAATAGATTGTTTAATTT